CGGTGAGGGGTCTGCCAGTGCCCACACCCAGACGCTGGTCTCCGATCCGCGATTTAATGCCCCCGATGAGGGGTCTAACGCTGGGTGCAGGTCTGTAATGAAACAACACGTGAAGGTAACAACAATAAGTTACATTTACACAGAGCCCTTCATGTCGGGAGGACGTCCCAAGGTGCTGGACAATGAGGGCTTTGTACCCGAGCTGCGGTTTGTGATCAGAGAGGGGTGGAGGGCAAAGGAGGGGATGGGGGGATTGGAGGAGGGAAGGGGACCAAAGATTTAAGAGGTCAAACTGGTGAAACTTTAATAGGTTTTAGCGGATACAGGAGCAAGACTGTGGACGGCTTTAAAGGTGAGGACAAGGATGTTGAACCTTAACACTCTGTGGGGATGGGGAACGGGTGAAGCTGGATGAGGATAGGGGTGATAGGGTCACAGAGCCTGGTTTGGGTGAGGACATAAGCTGATAAACAGAAGACCACCCAGTGTCCCCGCAATATTTGCCTCAGATTTTCCATAGCTTTTACATAAAATAACAATAATCCTTGTATTTGATCCACACCTATCACAACTCAAACACTTCACTGCAAAAACATTGGGTTTGAACCCACAAACCTCTGACTCCAGAGCCAGAAGGAGTGCTGTCGACTGAGTGGAGGTGACACAATGGCTCTCACCTCCGTGATCCAGATTCCCATTTAACCCAAACAGACAGTGAAAGCCTCCCCTTCTCTGTCTCTTTCTGTAAAGCTCTGCTGTGGATTAGCACAATTAGGGCCACTTGTTTCACCACAGAAAAGCCGTTAGATCAGACACTAGTAAATAACTGTAAATAAAATCACGTGTTTATGGCTGTTTGTGTGACGTTACTGTACGGAAATCACCCACAAAATACACAGTCACATCGGGAGAGAGAAACTGCCTTCTCTTTTCTAACAGAGCCACAGGATCTTTAACCTGATCCGATACAGACAGGACCTGAACTGAAGGACCTCAGCTTAACATCTCATCCAACGGACAGCATCTCTGTCAAGGCAGTGCTCCCCCAGCATAATCCTTACAACTGATAACAGTGACTATATTGGCAAAACGTTCATAAGTGCTTCACAGGTAACTGCTGGCTCCCCTTCACTCCCTGGCACCTTCCTCTCTCCATCTCCGACCTCCTCACTCCCCAATCCACCATCCGGAGCCTCTGCTCAACTGGCACTAGCTCCTGCTCGTCCCTCGCACCCTCCCCCCCACCATCGTTGGCCGTGCTCTCTGCCACAACACCCTAAAACTCTGGAACACCCTCCCTCAACCCCTCCACCTTGCCCTTTCTCTCCCCTCGTTCAAGTCCCGCCTGAAAACTTTCCTCTTTGACCGTGTTTCAGGCCACCTCCCCTCCCCCGGTCGGAGTCAGGCTGCGCCACTGTTAAACTCGGAGACGCTGCCCTGTGTGGAGGGCAATATATAAGTTTAAGTTGTTGTTGTGAATATAGTGACTGTGTTTGTAACCTTGTCTCGGTAGCACCTCCCCTCACAACAGTCAGAAACTTGTGGGTTCAAGTGTCACTTTGGGACTTGGATCCCATGTCGTCTAAGCTGATGCTCCAATATGGTGCTGTCTGTCTGCATGTATGTCTGTGTATCTGTGTGTGTGTCTGTGTGTGTGTGTCTGTCTATGTGTGTGTGTGTGTGTGTGTGTGTCTGTCTGTCCTGGTGGATGTTATAGATGCTGTGGCCCTACCTCAGTCTCTGGTGTCCTGTTGTGGAAGGTTAGACAGGACACACTCACCCACAAAACAGTCACATCATTTTACAGAACGTTGGAATACAAATACATTACAGTTAAATTATTATTATTAACCTCTCACACACTCATCACTCTCTCACACATACACAAACACTCACACACACTCTCTCACACAAACACTCTCTCACACACTCACACACACTCTCACACACACACAAACACTCACACTCACACACACAAACACTCACACACACACTCTCACACAAACACTCACTCTCTCACACACACACTCACACACACTCACACACACACTCTCTCACACACTGTCACACACACATAAACACTCACACACACACACACACACTCACACTCTCTCACACTGTCACACACACACACTCAAACACACACACTCACACACACACTCTCACACACACACTCTCACACACACTCTCTCTCAATCACACACTCTCACACACACATAGATTCATAGAATGTTACAGCACAGAATGAGGCCATTCAGCCCATCGAGTCTGTGCGGCTCTTTGACAGAGCGTCACTCTCACTAACCCCAATCACCAGCTTTCTCCCCATAACCCCACAAACCCGTCTTTCCCCGATACCTGTCCAGTTCTCTCTTAAACGCTGTTATCGAATCGGACTTCACTGCCCTTTCAGATCATTCCAAATTCCAACAACTCTCTGAGTGAAAACATTTCTTCTAACCTCTGACCTCTAACTTCTGACCCTAACCCTAACCTCCCCTCTGCTTCTTTTGGTAGATATCTTCAGACTGTGACCACGAGTCACAGACACACCTACAGCGGAAACAGCTTTTCCCTATCTCACCTGTCGAGACCTTTCATGATCTATCCGGTCCCCGCGTAACCTTCTCTGCTCTAATGGAAAAAGTCCCAACTTCTCCACTGTCCTCTGGCACTGTTCCTCTGGCTCCGGTCTGCTCCACGTCCCCCGCCCCAACCGCCCTACCATCAGTGGTCGGGCCTTCAGCCTCTCAGCCCCGAGGCTCTGGAACTCCATCCCCAGTGCCTTCGCCGCTTCCTCCCTCTCCTCCTTCAGGGCCGGTCTCAAAACCTTTCTCTTTGACCTTCAGCCTTCAGCTCTGCTCTCGACTCTCTACCCCCTCCTCACCCCCTCCCTTCCCTCCCCTCACCCTGACCATTTCCCCCCTCCTCACCCCCTCCCTTCCCTCCCCTCACCCTGACCATTTCCCCCCTCCTCGCTCCCTCCCTCCCTCCCCTCACCCTGACCATTTCCCCCCTCCTCGCTCCCTCCCTTCCCTCCCCTCACCCTGACCATTTCCCCCCTCCTCGCTCCCTCCCTTCCCTCCCCTCACCCTGACCATTTCCCCCCTCCTCGCTCCCTCCCTTCCCTCCCCTCCCCTCCCCTCACCATTTCCCCCCTCCTCGCTCCCTCCCTTCCCTCCCCTCACCATTTCCCCCCTCCTCGCTCCCTCCCTTCCCTCCCCTCACCCTGACCATTTCCCCCCTCCTCGCTCCCTCCCTTCCCTCCCCTCACCCTGACCATTTCCCCCCTCCTCGCTCCCTCCCTTCCCTCCCCTCACCCTGACCATTTCCCCCCAATGCTCGGGTCATGACCCAACTATGCAGCGCCTCGGGACGTCCTCCTGATGTGAAAGGCACTTTATAAATGGAATCTTGTTGTTGTTGTTGTCCTCATAGCTAAGGTTCCCCATTCCTGGTATCATTCTCGTGAATCTCCTCTGTGCCCTTTCCAGTGCCTTAATGTCCTTCCTGAGGTCAGGTGCCCAGAACTGGACGCAGTACTCCAGCTGAGGCCTAACCAGTGTTTGTACAGATTAACCATAACCCCTACTCTTATACTCTATGCCCTACTAATGAAGCTCAGTACACCAAATGCCCTTTTTACTGCCCTATCTTCCTGCTCTGCCACTTTTAATGATTCGCTGACTTGAACGCCCAGATCTCTCTGTACGTTCACCCCCTTAAGATTGAGCTCCCAGTCTATATTGCCTCCTATCATTTTTCCTACCTAAGTGTATCACCTCACACTTATCCACATTGAAATCCATCTGCCACATGTCGCCCATTCCACCATTCTGTGTATGTCTGCCTGCAGTCCGTCACAATCTCTTCACTATTTACTACCCGACCTAACTTGGTATCATCTGCAAACTTGGAAATAGTGCTCCCTGTGCCCAAGTCCAGATCATTAATATATATTAGAAAGAAAGAGCAGTGGTCCCAATACCGATCCCTGGGGGACACCGCTGCACACCTCCTTCCATTGCGAGAAACACCCATTAACCACCACCCTCTGCATTCTGTCACTCAGTCAGTTCCTAATCCAAACTGCCACTGTCCCCTTAATACTGTGGGCCTCCAGTTTTTTTATTAACCTCTTATGCGGTACTGTGTCAAAAGCCTTTTTAAAATCCATGTAAATAACGTCCACCGCATTTCCCTCATCAACCCTCGCAGTCACCTCTTCCAAAAATTCTATTAGATTTGTTAGGCAAGATTTGCCTTTAACAAATCCATGTTGGCTGTCTCTAATTACCTCGTGTTCCTCTAAGTAGAGATTTATTTGTCCCGGATTACGGTCTCCAGTAGTTTTCCTAATACCGAAGTTAGGCTGACTGGCCTGTAATTTCCGGGTTTGTCTTTCTGCCCCTTTTTGTAAGGGGGTAACATTAGCCACTCTCCAGTCTCTTGGCACCACTCCTGTGTCCAATGAAGATTGAAATATAATGGCCAAAGCCTCCGCTATTTGAACCCGTATCTCCCACAGCAACCTTGGGTGAAACCCATCTGGTCCTGGTGACTTATCAATTTTGAGCCCAGTCAATCTTTTCAGAACTTCCTCTCTGTCTATAGTAATCTGATCTATGTCCTCTACCCTCTCATCCAATACTGCGGCATTTGGGGCATCCGTTTCCGTTGTGAAGACAGATGCAAAGTACTCGTTCAGTACATCAGCCATCCCTCTGCCTCCACAACAAGATTGCCGTCATTGTCTTTGATTGGCCCCACCCTACCTTTAACTAACCTTTTTTCCTTTATGTGCTGTAAAATATTTTAGGATTCCCCTTTATGTTACCCGCTAACCTCTTCTCATGCGATCTTTTAGCCTGTCTTATCACTCTTTTAAGATCACTCCTGCATTCTCTATAATGCGCTTTGCTATCCTCAGTGTCTTGCGTCTTCCAATTGTCGTACGCCATCTTCTTCTTTTTCATCCTAGACAGAATATCCCTGGTCATCCAGGCTGGCTTGGTTCTCGCACATTTCCCTTTTGTGGGAATATATCTATTTAGACCTTGAGCTATCGTATCTTCGAAGATCTCCCATTGCTCATGAGTCGTTTTACCTTCTAGTCTTACTTGCCAGTCCACCAACTCTCAGTCCCTTTTTAGCCCATCAAAATTAGCCCTTTTCCAGTCAAGCATTTTCACCCTTGACTGTACTTTGTCCCTGTTCATGAGTAATCTAAATCTAATAATATTATGGTCACTGTTACCTCGATGCTCCCCTCCTGAAACTTGTTCAACCTGACCGATTTCATTCCCGAGGACAAGATCCAGCAATACTTCCTTCCTTGTAGGACTGGAGACATTACTGCTCAAGAAAATTTTCCTGTGCACGGTTGATGAATCTTCCTCCTGCCTTGCCCTTAGCGCTGCTCAGGCGCACCTCAGGCGCTGACACCATCAGCATCCAAGGCTGCACTCTCCACCTCTCAAAGCCAGTCAGGAACCTCGGCGTTTTGTTCGACCCTGAGCTGTCCTTTCTCCCTCACATCCGCACCACAACTGGCACCGCCTTCCATCACCTCCGGAATATCGCCAGACTACGGCACTACCTCACCCCTCACGCGGCTGAAACTCTGGTTCACGCCTTTGTCACCTCAAGGCCGGACTATGGGAACTCTCTCCTCGTCGGCCTTCCCGCCACCTCCCTCCACACTGCAGGTCATCCAGAACTCTGCAGCTCGTGTACTGTCCCGCACCACATCACTCCCACCCTCGCCCTCACCCTCGCCCTCACCCTCACCCTCGCTCCCCTCCACTGGCTCCCCATCCCCCAGAGGATTGATTTCAAGATCCTCATCCTCACCTACAAGGCCATTCACGGCCTCGCTCCCTCCTACCTCTCCAACCTACTATCCCCCTACCTACCTGCCCGTACCCTCCGTTCCTCTGGCTCCGGTCTGCTCCACGTCCCCCGCCCCAACCGCCCTACTATCGGTGGTCGGGCCTTCAGCCTCTCAGCCCCGAGGCTCTGGAACTCTATCCCCCAGTGCCTTCGCCGCTTCCTCCCTTTCCTCCTTCAAGGCCGGTCTCAAAACCTTTCTCTTTGACCGTGCCTTCAGCTCCCCTCTCGACTCTCTTCCTCCTCCTCGCTCCCTCCCTTCCCTCCCCTCACCCTGACCATTTCCCCACTGCTCGGGTCATGACCCAACTGTGCAGCGCCTTGGGACGTCCTCCTGACGTGAAAGGCGCTCTATAAATGGAATCTTGTTGTTGTTGTTGTTGTTGCTATTTTGTCAGTCTGTATTGGGATAATTGAAATCCCCCATTATGACAACTCTGTTCGCACAACATCTATCCGTGATCTGGTTGCAGATCTGCTCCTCTATCTCCTTCCCGCTGTCTGGTACTCTATAGTAAACCCCTATCAGTGTAACCATTCCTTCCCTATTTCTGACCTCTAACCGGATCGATTCTGTTGTCGGGCCCTCCAGAGTTGCATTCCTTTCTACAGCTATAATTATATCCTTAACTAATATGGCCACCGCACCTCCTTTCTTCCTTCTCTGTCCTTCCTGAACACACTATACCCTGGAATATTCACTCCCAGTCCTGTCCCGGCTTCAGCCGTGTCTCGGTGACCCCCTATGACCAGTTGAAGCCGCAGCTCAACACCTTATTCCCCGAGGGATGTGCGTTTAGGGACATGGATTTGAGGAGAGTCTTCACTTGTACTTCCCTCTGATCTCCACACCGGTGTTTACCCTCTGGTACCCGGTCCCCCCTCCACACCGGTGTTTACCCTCTGGTACCCGGTCCCCCCTCCACACCGGTTTTTACCCTCTGGTACCCGGTCCCCCCTCCACACCGGTGTTTACCCTCTGGTACCCGGTCCCCCCTCCACACCGGTGTTTACCCTCTGGTACCCGGTCCCCCCTCCACACCGGTTTAAACCCCGACAGCGTCTCACAATGCCTCGGCACGAAGCTCACCCCCACCTCACTACAGTGACGCACACCCACACCAGAAAGAGTCTTACTCTCTCTCACACACACACACACTCAAACACACTCTCACACACACACTCACACACACCCACCCACACACACACACTCACACACACACTCTCACACACCCACCCACACACACACACTCACACACACCCACCCACACACACACACTCACACACACACTCTCACACACACACTCTCACACACACACTCACACACACCCACACACACACACCCACACACACATTCACACACACACTCACACACACCCACCCACCCACACACACTCACACACACCCACCCACACACACACACTCACACACACACTCTCACACACACACTCACACACACCAACACACACACTCTCACACACACACACCCACCCACCCACACACACTCACACACACCCACCCACTCACACACACCCACTCACACACACACACTCACATCCACCCACCCACTCACTCACACACACTCACACACACACCCACCCATCTACACCCACCCACTCACACACACCCACTCACACACACACTCACACACACACACTCACACACACCCACCCACTCACACACACCCACCCACCCACTCACACACACCCACCCACCCACCCACTCACACATACCCACCCACTCACCCACACACACTCTCACACACACACTCACACACACCCACACACTCACACACACACTCACACACACACTCACACACACCCACCTACTCACTCACACACACTCACACACACACCCACCCATCCACACCCACCCATCCACACCCACCCACTCACACACACACTCACACACACACTCACACACCACCACACTCACACACACACTCACACACACACGCTTTCAAAGGACTTTCGATGCCCGTCAGAAGATCGGGCTGACGGACGCCAGGCAGAGGCTGACCGTGCGAGACGCACGGGAGCGACTGGACCAGAAGGACGCTCGCTCCAAAATAACAGGGGCCACGGCCAAGGTGCTGGATGCTCGTCAGATGATAAACTCCAGGAAAGGGCAGGACGGCAGTGGACAGGGGGCTCAGCCCAAACACCAGCTGGATGCCCGTCAGAGGCTTGGTGCCCGCCGGACAACCCCCGCCCCCATCACCCCCCTGCTCGGGGGTACCGTGGGCAACAGGGGCCGGATAACCAAAACCATCCAGGTGAGACCTGGCAATACCCTTCCCCACCCGCCTTCCCCTCACCCCCCCTGCCTTCCCCTCACTCCTCCCCACCATCCCCTCACCCCCCCCGCGCCCCCCCGCCTGCCCCTCACCCCCCTTGCCTTGCCCTCACCCCCCCGCCCCTCTCCGCCACCGCCATCCCTTCACCCCACCCCGCCTTCCCCTCAATCCCCCCCGCCTTCCCCTCACCCCCCCCGCCTTCCCCTCACCCCCCCCTGCCTTCCCCTCACCCCCCCCTGCCTTCCCCTCACCCCCCCCTGCTTTCCCCTCACAACCCCCCACCTTCCTCTCACCTCCCCCGCCTTCCTATCAACTCCCCCGGCTTCCCCTCTCCCCCACACCGCCTGCCCCTCACCCCCCCCCCACCCCCCGCCTAGAACAACAACAAGAAAATTAGATTTGTTTGGTGCCTTTCACGTCAGGAGGACGTCCCAAGGTGCTGGACAATCAGTGTTTCATAGCCGAGCTGGGGGTTGGGATCGCGGAGGGTGGAGGGCAGGGGACAGGGGTGGAGGACGGTGATCAAAGGCACAGTCGAAGAGGAGGGTCTTGAAACGGTTCTTGAAGGGAGGGGGCGAGGCGGAGGGCCTACAGGATGGATTTCTACACAGTGGGAGCAGAATGGCTGAAGACCCACCAGTCAATGGGAGTGCAGGCGAAGCAGGGAATGTGAAGCAGGCCAGAGCCCACTGAGCGGAAGGGGAATAGGGCTGCAGAGGTCGAGGGGAGCGAAACATTGGAGGGCTTTGAAGGTGAGGATCAGGATCTTGAGCTGTATCCTCTGTGTGATGGGAAGCCATGGAGTCAGGCGAGGATGGGGGTGATGGAGTTGGGGAGCCTGGTGGGGGTGAGGATGGGGGTGATGGGGTCGGGGAGCCTGGTGGGGGTGAGGATGGGGTCGGGGAGCCTGGTGGGGGTGAGGATGGGGTCGGGGAGCCTGGTGGGGGTGAGGATGGGTCGGGGAGCCTGGTGGGGGTGAGGATGGGGGTGATGGGGTCGGGGAGCCTGGTGGGGGTGAGGATGGGGGTGATGGGGTCGGGGAGCCTGGTGGGGGTGAGGATGGGGGTGATGGGGTCGGGGAGCCTGGTGGGGGTGAGGATGGGGGTGATGGGGTCGGGGAGCCTGGTGGGGGTGAGGATGGGGGTGATGGGGTCGGGGAGCCTGGTGGGGGTGAGGATGGGGGTGATGGGGTCGGGGAGCCTGGTGGGGGTGAGGATGGGGGTGATGGGGTTGGGGAGCCTGGTGGGGGTGAGGATGGGGGTGATGGGGTCAGGGAGCCTGATGTGGGAGAGGACATGGGCTGCAGAGTTAGTTCTGGATGATCTGCAGCCTGTGGAGGGAGGAGTTGGGGGGCGACAAGCAGGGAGTTTGTGGAGTGGATGTAATGAAGGCGTGTGTGAGGGTCTCGGGCTGCGGTGTGAGACAGTGTCGGAAACGGGCGATGTTGCAAAGGGCAGAGCAGGTCATGGTGCGGATGTGGGGTAGAAAGGATAGTTGAGGGTCAAACAAGACGCCAAGGTTCGGGACTCACTCAGTGAGGAAAGATCTCTCTGGGCTCTAAGGTGCTATCTGTCAGTGTATTGACACAAACTGACACGTGGTAAATAAGCTCCTGCCGACCAATCCCAACTTATTGGCCAGATCCCAGCTCCCATACAGAACTGGTCACCACCATCAGTCAACAGCCTGTGTTGATACAGCATCTGTTTTAGCGGGTTAGACTCCACTAATTCCCCCAACGCACACTCTGGGGTCCCCAAGCCTTGAGCTCTTGACAACCTGTGCCTCATACTCTCCGGAGTTAAGTAAACAGGGAGTGAGTGCATATTCCATTCCAGACATGTGAATTTCCATATGTAGGTGGAGACTCTACAACACGGTGATGGGTTTCTGTGTGTGTCAGACACCCGGCTGGTCACGGTGACGGGTTTCCGGTAAATTGGTCATTTTCAATCTACGACTGTTTGTGGGACATTGCTGTGCACAATTGGCCGCCGCGTTCGCCCACAAATATACAGTCAATTCACTTTACAGTGTGTTCTGTGCAGCGCTTTGGGACGTCCTCCCGACGTGAAAAGCGCTATATCAAATGCAAGGATTATTTTATTATTATTTCTCATTCACAGCAAAAGCTGATGACCCCTGTGCTCAGCCACCCCCCCCTTGCCATGCGTATCAACGTGGTGAATATCCAGAGCCCCAGCCAGGTACGTCACTGGGGGGGGGGGGGGGGGCACTAACACCAGCGACTGGGGTGTGAGGCTGACGTTGGAGACTGTGGGGAGGGTCCTGCACCACAGACTGGGGGAGGGGCTGACACCACAGACTGGGGGAGGGGCTGACACCACAGACTGGGGGAGGGGCTGACACCCGAGACACTGGAGGTGAAAGTATTTCACACCCTGGGCGACAGGAGGGAGAGGGTTTGATAAGCAAAATGGAGAAAGGATTTCTACTGGTCGGTAACTCAGTAACGAAAGCCCACAGGTCATCATCAGAAACAGGAGGAGGCCATTCAGTCACTCAAGCCTGTTCTGCCATTCCATAGGATCATGGGTGATCCAATTACCTGCCTTCGCCCCATATCCTTTAACACCCTGACCTAACAAACATCTCCACCTCAGTCTTGAAGATGTGAGTGGATCCAGTATCCACAGCCTTTTTGGGGAGAGAGTCCAGATTCCCACTAACCCTTTGGGTGTAAATCTGCCCCTGATTCCGAGCTGAATGGCCCGGCTCTAATATTAAGGTGATGCCCCTGTTCTGGATTCCCCACCAGAGGAAATAGTTTCTCTGTAGCTGCCGTATCAAATCCCTTCATTATTTTGAAAAGCTCAATCAGAACAGCCTCAACTTTCTAAACTCCAGGGAATACAGAGCACACTTATGCAACCTGTCCTCGTAATTTAACCCTGTTAGCCCTGGCAACATTCTTGTGAATCTGCGCTGCACCCTCTCCAGAGCCAATATATCCTTCCTGAGGTGCGTTGCCCAAAACTGAATGCAGTCTCCAGATGGGGTCTGACCAAGGCTCTGTATAGTTGAAGCATTATTTCCTCTGCTTTATATTCCAGCCCCTTGAGATAAAGGCCATCATCCCATTCATGTTTTTGATAAGTTTCAGGATAACTTTGAAGATCAGAGGGTGAGATCAGAGGGTCAGAGCTGTGTGGCTGACTGGCTGAGTGCTGTGACCTTGGCTCAGCTATAGTGGTATTTCAGTCTGGTACAATCGCCTCTGAGACAGACAGTTGTAGGTTCAAGCCTCACGTCGGAGCTTGGAATCACGCAGCCTAAGCTGTCGCTCCAATGCAGCGCTGGGGGGTGTTGTATTGTCGGAGACGCCATCTTTGGATGAGACATTAAACTAAGGTCCCGTCTACCTGTTCAAGTGGATGTTAAAGATCCCGCGGGGCTATTGGAAAGGACAAGAGAGATTCTTTTTGCTGGTGTCCTGGTCAACAATCCCCCAAATAAAATTGCTCGCTCACTCCATGGCTGTTATTGGGACGCTGCTGTGCGCATACTGGCTGCAGGGTTTCGCCCACAAATATACAGTCACAGTACTTTACAGTATAATCCGTGAAGCGCTTTGAGACGTCTTGACGATGTGATGAAGCGCTCTATCGATTGCAAGGATTGTTGTTATTTTCTACCGAACACACAGTGTATTTTTCTCTCAGACTCTGGATGAGATTGAAGATGAGGAGGAGGAAGAGGAGGAGCTGCTTCCTGTAACCAAAAAAGTAATGAAGATCAGCACCGGAAAGAACCACGTGACTCCGCAGAGCGTGAGAGGCTGTTGTTTGTTATCTGGATTAGAGAAATGCAGAGGCCTGGGGTGAGGGGTGGGGGCGGGTCCCTGGTGGGGGGGGGGGGGCCCTGGTGGGGGGGGGCCCTGGTGGGGGGGGGGGCCCTGGTGGGGGGGGGGGGGGCCCTGGTGGGGGGCGGGGGGCCCTGGTGGGGGGGGGAGGGGCCCTGGTCGGGGGGGCGGGTTGAGATGGGCCCTGAAGGAGGCAAGGGAGGGGGTGAGGTGTTGGGGCTCCAGGTTGGAGTTCCAGAGGGTGGGGCCCAACCTGCAGAACCTCTCTTCTGATTCTCAAACCACGCCCTCTAGTTCTGGGCCCTTCTACTTTATTTCCATTGAATCCTGTCCGCTCGCTCTGCTCAGCGGGCTCAGCGGGCTCCAGCCTGCTCCGTGTTCCCCTGCCGGCTTCACTAACAGCAGCCAGGCCTTCAGCCTCTCTGCCCCCAACCTCTGAAACTCCATCCCACATTCACTTTGCCACACCCCCTCCCATCAAGGCATGTCTCAAGACCCTCTTCATCGATCTCACCCTCCTCGCCCTCCACCCCTCCTGACCTAACCCCACAGCTCAGGTCTAATTCCCTGACTGTCCAGCGCCTTAGGAAGTCCTGAAGTTTGTTGTTGTTTATGCTGCCTGTGAACTGTGGGGAGGAGCAATGTTTCTTAGCTCAGGGAAGGCTGGCTATGTTAGAGTTTGAGAACTGCTTTAGATCTTTCTGATCTCCTTTTCTCTCTCTCTATTCCCTGCAGCCCCAATATGAGATGAATTGGCCTCTTCAAAACATTGAACCCGGTTCCCACAATCTCAGCCAAGCCATCAGGGAGAGGTGCAGAATCCAGGTGAGCTGCCTCAACAACAGCATTGCATTTACACTCTCACGTCAGGAGGACGGTCTGAGGCTCTGGACTGTTAAGGGTTTGCACCCGAGCTGGGGGTTGGATTCAAAGTGGGTGGAGGGTAGTGGGGGGGTGAGGTGTGGCTGGAAGCACGATCAGCTGGGTGTCTGATACACATGGAAACCCATCACTGTGATCAGTTGGTGTCACATCTTTAAGATTCTCCAAACCAGATGGAGAGTTTGATACCTGACTCTGATCTTCAGAAATTGCTGTGTCTGTAATGGAAGGGAGGCGTCCTGTTTATTCCGGAGAGTATTCGGCGCAGGTTGGCAAGATCCAAGGCCTGGGGGGACCCCAGAGTAACTGCCCCAGAGTAGCTGCTGGAGTCTAACCGGCTAAACCCACGCAGCTTGGCCATTGATATCACTGTCTGGCAGCTTTCCCACTGCTTGTCCAGCTCGGACCCCCCTCCCCATTAGTTAGTTAGTTAGTTAGTTAGTGCTTTGGCTGCAGGGTTAACAGCAGCTGAGGGGGAGGATTCCCTGCCCCAAGTTATTTTGTTCAACAACGGTTCATGTTAGCCGCTGATGTCTCTTGTGAAGCTGCTTCACTGTGAGTGTGGGGTTGACGTGTGTCTCTCTTTCCCTCTCTAGCCAGGGCTCAGTGTCTCCAAGCTGTCCCTCGGGAAGACTCCTCTCACTAAAGTGGTTCAGAACGACTCGTACACTGCCCCTGCCCCACTGCCAGCCCCCGTCCCCGCCCCCCTCACAGTCAGCCGCTTTAAACACCTGACCAACATCTCCAGGACAGCCACACTCTCTCTGGGGGAGGACACAGAGGAGGACTTGCCCCCTGCAGAGGTAACGCTTCCCGCTCTCCCGGGGTGGGTGAGGGGCAGAGGTGGGGACAGTGCTGGGGAGGGGGCACATTTCGGGAAGGAGGTCAGGGCTGGGAGCCGGGGCTGGAGGGAGGAGTCCGAGCTGGAGGGGGTGGAGGGAGCAGGGCTGTGGGGAGGAGCGGAACTGGGGGAGGGGGCACGTTTTGAGGGCAGGTCAGGGCTGGGAGCCAGCGCTGGGGGGGAGGAGGAGGAGCCAGAGCCTTCTCCCCCTCATCGGCCGCCCAGGCTCAGGCTGTAGCCCCTGGACATGTGTCTGCCGTGGGAGCCCCAGTGCTGTGCTGACCTCTCCCTCTCTCGCTCTCTCTCTCTCGCCCCCACAGCCTGTTCTCAGCCCCTTAGAAGGAACAAAGATGACTGTGAATAACCTTCATACAAGAGTAACTGAGGAGGACATTGTGGTGAGCGCGTTAGCTCAGGCCTGTGTGTGTGTCACTATGTGTGTCACTGTGGGCGTCTGTGTCATTGTGTGCGTCTGTGTCACTGTGTGTGTGTGTATGTGTGTGTGTGAGTGACTGTGTCACTGTGTGTGTGTGTATGTGTGTGTGTGAGAGTGACTGTGTCACTGTGTGTGTGTGTGTGTGTGTGTGTGGCCCTGGTGCTCCCTCCAGCCCTGCACTTCCCTGCCTTCCTCCCTCCCCGACCTCCTCACTCTCCAATCTAACACCCGTCACCTCTGCCCGACTGGCCTCGGCTCCTGATCGTCCCTCACGCCCACCATCGGAGGTCGTGCTCTCAGCCACTGCGCCCCAAAACTCTGGAACACTCTCCCTCAATCCGTCTGCATTGCCCCCTCTCTCCCCTCCTTGAAATCCCGTCTGAAAACCTTCCTTTTTGATCATGTTTACGGACCTCTCCCCCCGCAGCTCGGAGTCAGACTCCGCCGCTGTTAAGCTCTGAGATGCTTCGCTGCGAGGGTGCTATATAAGTGCAAATTGTTGTTTTTGTTCTGTGTCAGTGTATGTCAGACTATGTTACTGTGTGTTGGTGTCACTGTGCGTCTCTGACTGTTCAGCGCTTTGGGACGTCCTCCCGACGTAAAAGGCACTCTATAAATGTCATTTTGTTGTTCTTGTGTGTGTCTGTGTCACTCTGTGTGTATGGGTGGGTGGTGTGTGTGTGCCTGTGCTGACACTGTGCTGTGTGGGTACAGGAGCTGTTCTGTGTATGTGTGTATGTGTGCGCGCACGGGTGGTGTGCGTGCATGGGTGGTTTGTGTGCGTATGCGCCTGTGCTTTGCTGATGCTGTGCTGTGTGGGTACAGGAGCTGTTGTGTGGGCGCGGGCGGTGTGTGGGCGCGCGGGCGGTGTGTGGGCGCGCGGGCGGTGTGTGGGCGCGCGGGCGGTGTGTGGGCGCGCGGGCGGTGTGTGGGCGCGCGGGCGGTGTGTGGGCGCGCGGGCGGTGTGTGGGCGCGCGGGCGGTGTGTGGGCGCGCGGGCGGTGTGTGGGCGCGCGGGCGGTGTGTGGGCGCGCGGGCGGTGTGTGGGCGCGCGGGCGGTGTGTGGGCGCGCGGGCGGTGTGTGGGCGCGCGGGCGGTGTGTGGGCGCGGGCGGTGTGTGGGCGCGGGCGGGGTGTGGGCGCGGGCGGTGTGTGGGCGCGGGCGGTGTGTGGGCGCGGGCGGTGTGTGCGCCTGTGCTGTGCTGACGGTGTGCTGTGTGGGTACAGGAGCTGTTCTGTGTGTGCGGGGCTCTGAAACGTGCCCGGCTGGTCCGCCCAGGAGTGGCCGAAGTTGTTTTCGTCAGGAAAGACGACGCCATCACAGCTTACAAGAAATACAACAACAGATGTTTAGATGGTACATTGTATTCCCTGTCTGTTACTGTCCCCAACGCAGCACCCCGAGACTTTACCCCCCCCCTCGGCCTGCACCCCCTCTGCCTGCACCCCCTCGGCCTGCACCCCCTCGGCCTGCACCCCCTCGGCCTGCACCCCCTCGGCCTGCACCCCCTCGGCCTGCACCCCCTCGGCCTGCACCCCCTCAGTATTTAAGTGATCAGGGACACTGCCCTGAGCGGCTCGAATATAAATACAAGTTATTGTTGTTGATCCCGTCACCAGTCTCTCCCTCTCCCCTCAGGTCAGCCAATGAAATGTAACCTTCACATGAACGGCAACGTGATCACCTCAGAACAGCCGATCCTGCTGTAAGTTATCGTTTCCAAACGTTAGGGGTGGGAGGACTGTCACACAAACTGACAGAAACCCGTCACCGTGACCGGTCGGGTGTCTGACACACGGAAACCCGTCACCGTGACCGGTCGGGTGTCTGACACACGGAAACCCGTCACCGTGACCGGCCGGGTGTCTGACACACGGAAACCCGTCACCGTGACCGGCCGGGTGTCTGACACACGGAAACCCGTCACCGTGACCGGCCGGGTGTCTGACACACACGGAAACCCGTCACCGTGTTTAAGGCTATGGCTGCCGCTTTAACCCGAGCCCCCTCACCCCCTCCTTCCCTCCTCCCTCCTCTCTACCCCCAAACCCTCCCCCTCTGCATCTCTCCCGCTCTCTCCTCCTCTCTCTCCGTCCCTCTCGCCTTCTATCCCCACTTGACCCTCCTACAAACTCCCTCTGTTCCAACCTGGGAACCCTCCTCCGCCGGGCTCACCGCGGCACTCGGCGTTGGCTGTCCAGCAGCAGCCACACCGACTGCCCCATTCCCCACCACACTCGCCACCCACCCCGGACACAGACCCGGGGAGCCAACCTCTCCTCCCTCATCCCCATTCCCCCACCCCTGCCTCACAACCTGGACCCCTCCCCTCCCACACACCCTTCTGTCAACCGCTCCCTCCACATCGGACTGCAAAATGTCCGCTCCCTCTGCAACAAGGCCCTGGTCATCATGGACATCATGGCCTTAATGGAAACCTGGCTCACCCCAGGCGACACCTTCCCCCTCACGGAGGCCACACCACCCGGCTACACCTCCCACCACATCCCTCGCCCCAACCGCCGTGGCGGTGGTGTAGCCCTTATCTCAAGGACACCACTTGCCCTATCCCCCTACTCCTCTGGCTCTTTCCCCTCTTTCGAGCACCTCACCCTCTCCCACCCCTCCTTCCTCTCCCTCAAAATCCTCCTCCTCTATCGGCCCCTAAAACCTCTCCCACCTTCATCTCCGATATTTAGACACTTCTCACATCTCTCTGCCTCTGCTCTGATTGCCTCATCATCCTGGGCGACTTTAACCTGCACTTCACCCCCTCCTGCTCCATCTCCTCAGACTTCTCCTCCCTGCTCTCCTCGCTCAACCTCTCCCTCCACATCAACTCCCCCACTCACAGTCACGGCCACCCACTCGACTTGGTGATCACCCGGGGCCTCAGTGTCTCGGATGTCACTATTACCGACAAGGCCGTCTCCGATCACCACTTCATCTCCTTCACCACCTCCACCCCCTCCCCACCTCCACCAGACCCACCACCATCTTCTACCGCCCCTGGAAGAAGTTACCCCCACAATCCCTAACCGCTGCCTTGGAGTCCTCTGAACTCCTCTCCCTCTGGCCTTCAACCCTCACTGACCCCTCTTCTCCTCTCACCCTCCTCCACAACACCCTCTCCTCCACACTCGATACTCTTGCCCCCATCACCTCCCGTACTGTCTCCTACTCTCGCTCCTCCCCCTGGTTCACCACCCACCTCCGCTCACTGAAGAGCCGCTGAACGCACCTGTGTCAAATCTGGCCTAACGGTCCACCGACAAATCTGGGTGGACCTCCTCAAAACCTACCGCTCCACTCTAGCCTCGGCCAAGTCGTCCTTCTACTCCAGGATAATCCTGGAGGCGAAGAACAACCCCAGGCTACTGTTTTCTACCACATCCCGACTCCTCCGTCCCCCCCGCCACCCGCGCAGGTCATCTCCTCCAACCTTCACTGTGAGGAGATGCTGGATTTCCTTGAATCCCAAATCAAGGGAATTCGCTCCGCGGTCACTTCCCCTCCAACATCCACCCACCACCCACCCCTCCCTCCCACACTCCGACTCCTACCCATCCTCCCCTACACACTTTCGTACCCGTTTCCCCACCCTCTGTCACCAAACTCATCCTATCCCTGAAACCCACCACCTGCTCCCTTGACCCCATCCCCACTCCACTCCTTATCTCTCAGCTCCACCTCCTGCCCCACATATCACAGACATCGTCAACCTGTCCCTCTCCTGTGGCTCTGTTCCCATTCCCTTAAAAACTGCCACCATCACTCCCACCTTGAAAAACCCTCCCTTGATGCGTCGCAGCTATCAATCTCCGGCCCATCTCCAACCTCCCCTTCCTGTCCAAGGTCCTGGAACGAGTTGTGGCCTCCCAGCTGCGCTCTTTCCTCTCCACCCATTCATTATTCGAACCCCTTCAGTCAGGTTTCCGTGCTGCCCATAGCACAGAAACTGCCCTGGTCAAGGTCACCAATGATATCCTGACCATCTGTGACCAGGGCTCCCTCTGCCTCCTCGTCCTCCTCGACCTATCGGCAGCATTCGATACGGTCGACCACGCTATCCTCCTCCACCGCTTGTCCTCCCACCTCAACCTTCAAGGCCCTGTCCTTGAGTGGTTTAGGTCGTACCTCTCCCACCGTCTTCACTTTGTTTCCACGAACGGCTTTTCTTCCACCCCCCACTGTCTCGTGCAGTGTCCCTCAGGGCTCTGTCCTCGGTCCCCTCCTCTTCACCCTCTATATGCTCCCCCTGTGGTGACATCATCCGCAGACATGGGGTTAACTCCCACATGTATGCGGATGACACCCAACTCTACCTTTCCTCCTCTACTCTCAACTCCACGACCCCCGATGTCCTGACAGCTGTCTGTCCGACATCGAGTCCTGGACGAGAGACAACTTTCTTCAGCTCAACGTGCGCAAAACTGAGGCCCTCCTGATTGGCTCACGTCAGCGCCTCCGCACCTCAGGCGCTGACACCATCAGCTCCGCACTCTCCACCTCTCAAAGCCATCAGGAACCTCGGGGTTCCCCTCGACCCTGAGCTGTCCTTTCTCCCTCATATCCGCACCACAACTGGCACCGCCTTCCATCACCTCCGGAACATCGCCGGACTACGGCACTACCTCACCCCTCACGCGGCTGAAACTCTGGTCCACACCTTTATCAGCTCAAGGCCGGACTATGGGAACTCTCTCCTCGTCGGCCTTCCCGGCCCTCCCTCCACACTGCAGGTCATCCAGAACTCTGCAGCTCGTGTACTGTCCCGCACCAGACACTGCGCCCACATCACTCTCACCCTCACCCGCGCTCTCACCCTCACTCCCACCCTCACCCTCGCCCTCGCCCTCACCCTCACCCTCGCTCGCCTCCACTGCTCCCCATCCCCCAGAGGATCGAATTCAAGATCCTCATCCTCACCTACAAGGCCATTCCCGGCCTCGCTCCCTCCTACCTCTCCAACTTACTATCCCCCTCCCTACCTGCCCGTACCCTCCGTTCCTCCGGCTCCGGTCGGCCCCACATCCCCCGCCCCAACCGCCCGACCATCGGTGGCCTTCAGCCTCTCAGCCCCGAGGCTCTGGAACTCCATCCCCAGTGCCTTCGCCGCTTCCTCCCTTTCCTCCTTCAAGGCCGGTCTCAAGACCTTTCTCTTTGACCTTCAGCCTTCAGCTCCGCTCTCGACTCTCTACCCCCTCCTCACCCCCTCCCTTCCCTCCCCTCACCCTGACCATTTCCCCCCTCCTCGCTCCCTCCCTCCCCTCACCCTGACCATTTCCTCCCTCCTCGCTCCCTCCCTTCCCTCCCCTCACCCTGACCATTTCCCCCCAATGCTCGGGTCCCGACCCAACTGTACAGCGCCTTGGGACGTCCTCCTGACGTGAAAGGCGCTCTATAAATGCAATCTTGTTGTTGTTGTAAGAAACTCTGAAACAGACTGAGTTCCGTGTCTGTCACCTACACACAGAAAATCCTGCGTCTGGAATGGAATGTTTACTCTTTCTGTGGATATTCACCTAATTTCTCTCTCTCTGTCTCATTCCTTCTGTCTGTCTGTGTCTCTCTCCCTCTCACTTTCTCTCCTCCCCATTTCTCTTTCAAACTCACTCTCATATTGTATATTGTCTCACACCCTCTCTCTCTCTCTCTTTCACACACTCTCACTTCCTCTCTCACACGCTCTCTCCCCCTCCATCTCTCTCTGTGTCTCAGACTCACTCTCTTATATTCTGTCACACACACTCTCTCTCTCTCTCTCACACACACTTATATTCTGTCACACACACTCTCTCTCTCTCTCTCTCTCTCACACTATTATATTCTGTCACACTCTCTCTCTCTCACACACTCTCTCTCACACACTCTCTCTCACACTCTCTCCTGTAGGCGCCTGAGTGACGCCCCAGTGACCAAGGTCCCTGAGATGGTGAGGCCGCGGGTTCGACAGGCCTCTCACCCCCAGGCCGAGGTGGACCCAGACACCGTCCTCAAAGCTCTGTTCAAATCCTGCAGCCCCTCCACCTCCGCACAGCCGACTGCCTTCAAAATCAAACTCTAACCTCAGCTCGTGAGCCTGCTGTACTCACCCTTGCCCCCCTCTCCCCCCAGCCCGCCCTCCCCCCTCTCCCCCCAGCCCGCCCTCCCCCCTCTACCCCAGCCCGCCCTCCCCCTCTCCCCCAGCCCGCCCTCCCCCTCTCCCCCCAGCCCGCCCTCCCCCCTCTACCCCCAGCCCGCCCTCCCCCTCTCCCCCCAGCCCGCCCTCCCCCCTCTCCCCCAGCCCGCCCTCCCCCCTCTACCCCCAGCCCGCCCTCCCCCTCTCCCCCCAGCCCGCCCTCCCCCTCTACCCCCAGCCCGCCCTCCCCCTCTACTCCCAGCCCGCCCTCCCCCCTCTCCCCCAGCCCGCCCTCCCCCTCTCCCCCAGCCCGCCCTCCCCCTCTCCCCCAGCCCGCCCTCCCCCCTCTCCCCCCAGCCCGCCCTCCCCCTCTCCCCCCAGCCCGCCCTCCCCACTCTCCCCCCAGCCCGCCCTCCCCCTCTCCCCCAGCCCGCCCTCCCCCCTCTCCCCCCAGCCCGCCCTCCCCCTCTCCCCCAGCCCGCCCTCCCCCTCTCCCCCAGCCCTCCACCCAACCCCGCGCGCCCCCCACTCTGCCCAACTCCCCTCCCCCTCCTGAGCAGTAAATGCTCTTAGATTGTTTGCTGACCCCCTCTCTCTGTCTCTCTCTGTCTCGCTCCTGATAGTACAAGTTGCTTGCAGTCTGGGGTCCGGTCACAGGGGGTCAGTCGCTCGAGGGAGTGGGGGTGGGGGTGCGGGGGAGGGGAGATCTAGTTCCCGTCCCTGTCCGACCTGCTCCCGGAAAAGACACGATTGGCAAACCTGGCCCGTGATATCCTGTGTCCGCTGACACCTGGCCTCCCCCACCCCACTGGATGCTCCCCACTCCCTCCTCCCCCCGGAGAGTGTTCTCCCCCATGTCCATGGGGTGTCCTCTCTCTCCCCGCCCCTCCCTCAACAGGATGTTCTCCCGGCCCCCACGGGGTGTTTCCCGCCCCCCCCCCACTCCCGCCGCAGGGTGTTCTCCCTCCCCCTGGGGTGTTCTCCCCCCCCCCGGGTGTTCTCTCCACTCCCCCCCGGGATGTCCGTTTCCCCCCACCCCCTTCACTGTGACACCGTCTCCCGTTGGCTGCGGCTCTGAAATCTGATGTTGAATTTGGGTTTTTTTATCTGAAAATTAAAGACCAAAAAATGACCAACATTAAACAAATGCCTTTAGTTTGTTTTGTTGCTGATCCTCCTCCCCATTCCCCCCACCCCTCTCTCTGACCCTCTCTCTGTCCTGGACAGTATCGTGGAGGTGGGCTGGGGGGAGAGAGGGAGTCACTGTGTTCATCCCCTGTCCACTTCCAGCACCCTCCCCACTTCCCCCCACCAGACAGCCCCCTGACAGGGAAGCCTGGGCCTATCTGCTGAGTCTATCTCAGTGAGAGACTCACACATTTATCTATTAAACCATAGGGTAGTGATGGGGGGAGAGACTTCATGATTGAATTGTTTACGTCTGTGTGTGTGTATGTGTATGTATATGTGTCTGTGTGTGTCTGTGTGTATGTGTCTGTCTGTGTGTGTGTGTGTCTGTGTGTATGTCTGTGTGTGTGTATATGTGTGTGTGTGTCTGTGAGTGTGTGTCTGTGAGTGTGTGTCTGTGTGTGTGTGTCTGTGTGTATGTGTGTGTGTATGTGTATGTGTGTGTGTGTGTGTGTAACTCTAGCCCTAAGTCCCATTCCCGCCCTCTGCTCTTTTTAATCTGTCTGTGCAGTTTGGCCAGGGTGTGAGCAGGGTTTTGGGCTGTTTGTGAGCAGGGTTTGGGGCTGGGTGTGGGTGTGCACACATATATGTGAGTGCCTGTGTGTGAGTGCACATAAGTGTGTGAAAATGACTGAATGCGTGCGCTGCATCCCAGAGACCAGGTGCCCAGGAGGGATTGGGTTGGAGTCAGGTTGGATCCTCAGTGGCATAATTTCCTGTAGAACATTATTCACCGAGACAATAACCAACAATCATTGATGTCGCAGGTTATCATGTCAGGAGGATATCTCAAACGTCTCAGGATTGCTGGAGATTAACCAGCTTTAGCCACTCAGTGTCAGTCTGGCTCAGTCAGAGGTTTGTGGGTTCAAGTCTCACGTTGGGATTTGCTGCTGTATATAGTCTAAGCTGACGCTCCAGTGCAGTGCTGGGCAGACGCTGCATTACTGGAGGTGCCTCATTAAGGTGAGAAGTTAAGCCGAGGCCCCGTTTGCCTGTTTGGGCAGATGTTAAAGATCTCCCGCGGTGTTGAGCGAATAGAGAAGGGAGTTTCTCTCTCTCTCCTGGTCGACAAACCCCAGATAAAATCGCTAATTCACTCGCTCGCTGCACGGCTGTTTGCGAGACATTGTGCAGTATTTGCCCACTAAACTCACAGTCACTACACTTTACGGTGAATCCTATGAAGAGTTTGAGTCATTGTCCTGATGTGAAAGCAGCTGTTGCCGTAATGTAACGTTATTATTGTCAATAAGAACTAAGCCACACAGTTTGCCATTGATATTGCTGTCTGACAGCTTTCCCACTGCTTGTCCAGCTCGGACCACCCGCCCCGTTAGGGCCTTGGCTCGGGGTTAACAGGAGCCGAGGGGGAGATATCAACTTTGTGACTCCCAAGGGTTGCTGAGGAGCCAGGCCGGGCGAGTGTAACCGGTGTGATGGGGTGAGGGTGGGGGAGCTGGGGTGATCTCCAGGCTGGGGTGACATTCCCTATACACGTCACAGTTGTGTAACAAAGTTGTGTAACAAAGTTTACACAACTCCCTCAGTCCCCCCCGCCTCGCCCCCTCTCTTCCCCTTTTTAAGTCCGGCCTTAAAACCTTCCTTTTCAACCATGTTTACGGTCACCCCCACCCCCCGGCTCGGAGTCGGGCTCCACCGTTGTTAAGCGCTCTGGGACGCTGCCCTGCGTGGAGGGCGCTATATACATGTAAGTTGTTGTTTAGTTTTTACTTTATCTCAAATTGTGTGTTTTCGGGGAGGGTAAAATCTCTGTGATTGTCAGGGCGGGAGGTGGAGGGGACGGGGGGGGGGTGAGATTCTGGCTCAGTGTGAGCTGGCTGACTGGGCAGGTTAAGACCCACATCAGGGGAAAATCCAGCGGGCAATTTTTTACCCTCTCTCCCCACCCACTCCCTTAAATAAAAATCGTTCTTTAGTTGAATTATTTTGATAAGCAGCTGCCAAGTCTTTGTGGAGTCCCAATAGCTCAGCGAGAGGACCCGGGTATGATTCCTGGGCGGGTCAGAGTGAAACATTGGACACGTTTCCTTACTCCACACACACTCCCTCAAAAATAAAAAATAATTAGGTCACACAATCCACAACTGTTTGTGGTGACGCTGCTGTGCGCAATTGGCTGCCGTGTTTTGCCCACAAAGACACAGTCGATCCACTTTACAGTGCATCCCATGAGACATCTCAAAGCTGTGATAAGGCGCTGTATCAAATGCAACGGTTATTATTGTTATAAGGTCCTATAATGTTGTGTCTGACCTCCTAGACCACTTTCTGTAGGTTTTAATGAATATTATTTCTTAATCCACACTTTGTACACCCTCCCGGAGGGCTGACAGCTCTCAGCAGTTTGTTGACCTTTGTAAATACGCTTCTCTTATACCAAGTGGTTTGTGTCTGATTTACATGACAAGCTGACGGTCGCTGTGTAGAACAGCTCTCGTTTGTCTTATTATTAAAATCAATTTAAAAAAAAAGTGGAAGATGTTACTTTGTTGGTTCAGAGGCCGAGGGAAGAACATGGGCTGGTTTCAAACCCTGTTCAACTTGTTTACATAGCGCCCATCACACAGGGCACATCGCGGAGCCCTGGTGCTGAGCCGGGACGAGTGGGGACGTGAAGATGGGGACGGAGGGGGCGAGGAGGAGAGATTGAGGGAGAGAGATCCAGAGGTTCGGGGCACAGTGGCTGAAAGCATAGCCACTGATGGTGGAGCGGAGGGGACGGGGGACAAGCGGGAGGTCAACCGCACCACTGACTGCACCAAACCAAACAGCAGAGAGGTCCCGGAGGGACCCTAAGTGAAGGTGGAGGGGGGGGTTGAGGGAGGGGCGGGGCTGAGGGTGGGGCGGGGGTGGGGGCGGGACTGAGAGGCGGGGCTGAGGGTGGGGGCAGGGCTGAGGGTGGGGCGGGGCTGAGGGTGGGGGCGGGGGTGGGGGCGGGACTGAGGGTGGGGCGGGGCTGGGGGTGGGACTGAGGGAGGGGCGGGGCTGAGGGTGGGGGAGGGGCTGAGGGTGGGGGCGGGGCTGAGGGCGGGCTGAGGGTGGGGGAGGTGCTGAGGGAGGGGCGGGACTGAGGGAGGGGCGGGTCTGAGGGTGGGGAGGGGCTGAGGGTGGGGCGGGGCTGAGGGAGGGGCGGGGCTGAGAGTGGGGGCGGGGCTGAGGGTGGGGGCGGGGCTGAGGGAGGAGCGGGGCTGAGGGTGGGGGAGGGGCTGAGGGAGGGGCGGGACTGAGGGAGGGGCGGGGCCGAGGGTGGGGGAGGGGCTGAGGGAGGGGCGGGGCTGAGGGAGGGGCGGGGCTGAGGGTGGGGGAGGGGCTGAGGGAGGGGCGGGGCTGAGGGAGGGGCGGGGCTGAGGGAGGGGCGGGGCTGAGGGAGGGGCGGGGCTGAGGGTGGGGGAGGGGCTGAGGGTGAGGGAGGGGCTGAGGGTGAGGGAGGGGCGGGGCGGGGCTGAGGGTGGGGGAGGGGCTGAGGGTGAGGGAGTGGCTGAGGGTGGGGGCGGGGCTGAGGGTGGGGGCGGGACTGAGGGAGGAGCGGGGCTGAGGGTGGGGAGGGGCTGAGGGAGGGGCGGGACTGAGGGAGGGGCGGGGCCGAGGGTGGGGGAGGGGCTGAGGGAGGGGCGGGGCTGAGGGAGGGGCGGGGCTGAGGGTGGGGGCGGGGCTGAGGGTGAGGGAGGGGCGAGGCTGAAGGTCGGGGACAGTATAATTGGATGAGGTCAGGGGGCGGAGACGAGTGACTACAATTCCCAGGATTCTCTCCGCGTACTGCGTGACGTCACTTCCGACTGACGGCCATGATTTCCGGTGTGATGGCTCCCGGAGGGAAGGCAACCGATTTGGGCGGTTTTACAGGTACAGTCCCGAAAGGGAGAGAGTGGAGAGTGTGGGGGGGGAGTGTGTGGGGAGTGTGGGGGGTGGGGGAGAGTGTGGGGGAGTGTGGGGGGGGAGAGCGCGGGGGGGGAGAGCGGGAGGGGAGGGGGAGAGTGTGTGGGGAGTGTGGGGGGTGGGGGAGAGTGTGGGAGGGGGTGGGGGAGAGTGTGGGGGAGAGTGTGGGTGGGGGGAGGGGAGAGTGTGGGGGGTGGGGCGAGGGGAGAGTGTGGGGGAGTAGGGGGGGGGAGAGAGTGTGGGAGAGTGTGGAGGAGAGTGTGGGGTGGGGGAGTGTGTGGGGGAGTGGGGGGTGGGTGGGAGGGGAGAGTGTGGGGGGAGGGGGAGAGAGTGTGGGGAGGGGAGAGAGTGTGGGGGAGAGTGTGGGGTGGGAGGGGGAGAGAGTGTGGGAGGGGAGAGAGTGTGGGAGGGGAGAGAGTGTGAGGGGAGAGTGTGGTGGAGAGAGTGTGGGGGGAGAGAGTGTAGGGGAGGGGGAGAGAGTGTGGGGGAGAGTGTCGGGTGGGGGGAGAGGGTGGGGGGGAGGGGGAGAGAGTGTGGGGAGGGGGAGAGAGTGTGGGGAGAGTGTGGGGTGGGAGGGGGGAGAGAGTGTGGGAGGGAGAGAGTGTGGGAGGGAGAGTGTGAGAGGGAGAGAGTGTGGTGGAGAGAGTGTGGGGGGAGAGAGTGTAGGGGAGGGGGAGAGAGTGTGGGGGAGAGTGTCGGGTGGGGGGGAGAGGGTGGGGGGAGGGGAGGGTGGGGGGAGGGGGAGGGTGGGGGGAGGGGGAGGGTGGGGGGGTGGGGGAGAGTGGGGGGTGGGGAGAGTGTGGGAGGGGAGAGAGTGTGGGAGGGGAGACAGTGTGGGAGGGGAGACAGTGTGGGAGGGGGAGACAGTGTGGGAGGGGGGGAGAGTGTGGTGGAGAGAGTGTGGGGGAGGGGAGAGAGTGTAGGGGAGGGGAGAGAGTGTGGGGGAGAGTGTCGGGTGGGGGGAGAGTGTGGGGGGGAGGGGAGGGGAGGGGGAGGTGGGGGGAGGGGAGAGTGTGGGGGAGGGGGAGAGTGTGGGGAGAGGGGGAGAGTGTGGGGAGGGGGAGTGTGGGGAGAGTGTGGGGTGGGAGGGAGAGTGTGAGGGGGAGTGTGGGGAGAGTGGGGGGGAGGGGGAGAGAGTGGGGGGGGGAGAGAGTGTGAGGGGGAGAGAGTGTGTGGGAGAGAGAGTGTGGGGGAGGGGGGAGAGTGTGGTGGAGAGAGTGTGGGGGAGGGAGAGAGTGTGGGGGGGGAGTGTGGGGAGGGAGAGTGTGGGGGGGGGGAGAGGGGGGAGAGAGAGTGTGGGGGAGAGAGCGTGTGGGGGAGAGAGAGTGGGGAGGGGAGTGTGGGGTGGGAGGGGGTGGGAGGGAGAGTGTGGGGGAGAGTGTGGGTGGGAGGAGAGTGTGAGGGGAGTGTGGGGGAGAGTGGGCTGTGGGGGTGTGGGGGAGAGTGGGCGGTGGGGGGAGGGGGGAGAGTGGGGAGAGTGTGGGGTGGGGGGGGAGGGAGAGAGTGTGGGGAGGGAGAGTGTGGGGGAGAGTGGGCGGTGGGGGGAAGGGGAGTGTGGGGAGAGTGGGCGGTGGGGGGAGGGGGAGTGTGGGGGAGAGTGGGGGGTGGGAGGGAGAGTGTGAGGGGGAGTGTGGGGAGAGTGGCGGTGGGGGGGGAGGGAGAGAGTGTGGGGGGAGGGGAGTGGGTGGGGAGGGGGGGAGAGAGTGTGGGGAGAGTGTGCGGGAGAGTGGGGGGCGGGGGAGAGTGTGGGGAAGTGTGGGAGGGGGGAGTGGGGGGAGGGGGAGAGTGTGGGGGAGGGGGAGAGGAGGGGGAGAGTGTGGGGAGGGAGTGTGGGGAGAGTGTGGGGTGGGAGGGAGAGTGTGAGGGGGAGTGTGGGGAGAGTGGGGGGGGGAGGGGGAGAGAGTGGGGGGGGAGAGTGTGGGGGGGGAGAGAGTGTGGGGGGAGTGTGGGGGAGGGGGGGGAGAGAGTGTGGGGGAGAGAGTGTGGGGAGAGAGAGTGTGGGGAGAGAGTGTGGGGGGAGAGAGTGTGGGGGGGGAGAGTGTGGTGGAGAGAGTGTGGGGGGAGGGGAGAGAGTGTGGGGGGGAGTGTGGGGAGGGGAGAGTGTGGGGGGAGGGGAGAGAGTGGGGGGAAGGGGAGAGAGTGTGGGGGAGAGAGAGTGGGGAGGGGAGTGTGGGTGGGAGGGGGGGTGGGAGGGAGAGTGTGGGGGAGAGTGTGGGGTGGGAGGAGAGTGTGAGGGGGAGTGTGGGGGAGAGTGGGCTGTGGGGGTGTGGGGGAGAGTGGGCGGTGGGGGGGGAGGGGGAGAGTGGGGGAGGGGAGAGTGGGGGAGAGTGTGGGGTGGGGGGGAGGGAGAGAGTGTGGGAGGGAGAGTGTGGGGGAGAGTGGGCGGTGGGGGGAGGGGGAGTGTGGGGGAGAGTGGGCGGTGGGGGGAGGGGGAGTGTGGGGAGAGTGGGGGTGGGAGGAGAGTGTGAGGGGGAGTGTGGGGGAGAGTGGGCGGTGGGGGGGAGGGAGAGAGTGTGGGGGGGAGGGGGAGTGGGGTGGGGGAGGGGGAGAGAGTGTGGGGAGAGTGTGCGGGAGAGTGGGGGGCGGGGGAGAGTGTGGGGAAGTGTGGGAGGGGGGAGTGGGGGGAAGTGTGGGAGGGGGAGTGGGGGGCAGTGTGGGAGGGGGGAGTGTGGGAGGGGGTGTAAGTGCCTGTGTTTCTCAGCAGTCAGGAGGTCTCGGCTGTTAGTGGATTTTGGGGATCAGTTTCCGAGGGGAATAATCCCTCATAATAATAATTAATTCATAATTTAGTGACTCAACTCACGGCTGTGTGTGTGGGACTGTGTGTGTGTGGGGCTGTGTGTGTGTGGACTGTGGTGTGTGGGACTGTGTGTGTGGGGCTGGTGTGTGTTACTCTGTGTGTGGGGCTGTGTGTGTGTGGGGCTGTGTGTGTGTGGGACTGTGTGTGTGTGGGACTGTGTGTGTGTGGGGCTGTGTGTGTGTGGGGCTGTGTGTGTGTGGGGCTGTGTGTGTGTGGGGCTGTGTGTGTGTGGGGCTGTGTGTGTGTGTGGGGCTGTGTGTGTGTGGGGCTGTGTGTGTGTGGGGCTGTGTGTGTGTGGGGCTGTGTGTGTGAGACTGTGTTGTGGCTGTGTGTGTGGGACTGTGTGTGTGGGACTGTGTGTGTGACGTGAAAAGCGCTATATCAAATGCAAGGATTATTAGAGAGAGAGAGCGCGGATTCCATTGCAGCCACAGGGAGATTCCCTTGGATTCAGGATGACCTGTTATGAGTTGCTTTTGGTCCACATAAGCAGTGTTGACCTTAGTGGGACCTGATTAGTTTTGGTGTGTGTCACACCCCGGCTGACAGACAGCTGTTAGAGATATGTTGATGACTGTGGACAGTTACTGAGCGGGTTCCTGGCTGTGGATCCTGAGATCATTGTTCTCTCCTTCACTGCAGCGATCCCGGTGACATTTTCCCAGAGCAGCCGGTGCTGCCATTATCTGTATGTGAAGGAACACCGAGTGCGAGAGGGAGCGGGTACGAGCAGGCCGCAGGACAGGACCTTGTTTGTGCTGAACGTGCCTCCCTACTGCACCCAGGTACAGGTTTCTCTCTCTCACTCTGGGTCACTTTCTTTTTCACACTCACATTCATTCTGTGTCTTTCTCTTTCTCTTTGTGACTCGTACACACTCACTGTGTGTGTGTTGTGTGTGCCTCTCTCTCACTATGTGTCTCATGCTCTCTGTCTCTCTCACACTCTCTGTGTCTCCCTCACCCTCTCTCTCACTGTGTGCGTCTCTCTCTCTCTCTCTCTTGCACACTCTGTCCATCTGTGTCCAGGGCTCCCTCTTCCTCTTCGTCCTCTCTCCTGCCTTCAATACCGTGGACTATTCCATCCTCTACACCGCCTCTCCTCTCACCTCATCCTTTAAGGTTCTGTCCTTGAATGGTTCAGGTCTTATCTCTCACACTGTCTCCAATTTGTCTCTGCTAATGGTTACTCTTCCAGCCTCCATACCGTCTCGTGCGGCATTTCTCAGGGCTCTGTCCTCGATCCCCTCCTCTTCAACCTTTACATGCTCCCCCTTGGTGACATCATTTGTAGACGTGGGATCAATTTCCATATGTATGCGGATGAGGATGACACCCAACTCTATCTCTTTGCCTTCACCCTCAACTCCAGGACACACTGCAGTCCTGACAGACTGCCTGTCTGACATCAAGTCATGGATTAAACCAAACTTTTACAGCTGAACCACAAGGCCGAGGCTCCTGATTGAGTTCCGTCAACACTTCCTCACCCCAGGCGCTGACCATCCACCATCACCATCCACGGTTACTCACTCCACCTCACTGAGCCAGTCAGGAACCTTAGGGTCTTGTTTGACCCTCAAATTTCCTTTCTCCTCATATCCGTGCCATGACCCACTTTGCCTTCTCCACCTCCGCAACATCACCCGGCTCCACCACTGCCTCACACCGTAGGCCCCCGAAACCCTCATCTATGTATTTGTCACCTCAAGGCTCGACTTCGGAACCTCTCTCCTAGTCGGCCTCCCCAACTCTTCCCTCCACAAGCTGCAGATCATCCAGAACTCTGCAGCTCGTGTCCTCTCCTGCACCAGGCTCCGTGACCCCATCAAACCCACTCTCGCCTGACTCCACTGACTCCCCATCCCTCAGAGGATAGAATTCAGAATCCTCGTCCTCACCTTCAAGGCCCTCCATAGCCTTGCACCCTTCTACCTCTTTGACCTGCTGACCCCCTACCAACCTGCCCGCTCCCTCCATTCAGCGAGCTCCGGCCTGCTCCAGGTCTCCCGCCCAACCCACTCTATCGTCGGTGGACGGGCTTTCAGTCTCTCTGCCCCCACACTCTGGAACTTCATTCCACAATCCCTTCCCCTCGCTCCCTCTCTTGCCTCCTTCAAGGCACGACTCAAGACCCTCCTTTTCGACCATGTCTTCAAACCGCCCTTCTACCCCCGAAATATAAATATAATTTTGTTGTCTCTCTCTCTGTCTCACGCTCTCTGTGTGTGACTCTCTCTGTATATGTGTGTCACTTTCTCTCTCTCTCTGCCTCTCACTCTCTCCGTATCACTCTTTCTTTCCCTCTCTGTCTCTCTCTCCTCTCTCACTCTCACGCTCCCTGTGTTGTGTTCAGGGCGGGTTGCGGAGGCTGTTCTCGCAGTGTGGGCTGGTGCAGGATGTGCAGCTGCAGGAGAAGCCGGGCCCCGGAACCAGGGCATCAGTGGAGGAATCCGGCTTCTTCAACACCCAGAGGCTGAAGGTGATCCTATGTATGTGTGTAACTGTGTGTGTGTGAGACACTGTGTGTGACTGTGTGTGTGTGAGACGCTGTGTGTGTGTGACGCTGTGTGTGACTGTGTGTGTGAGACGCTGTGTGTGACTGTGTGTGTGTGAGAGACGCTGTGTGTGTGAGACGCTGTGTGTGACTGTGTGTGTGTGAGACGCTGTGTGTGTGTGACGCTGTGTGTGACTGTGTGTGTGAGACGCTGTGTGTGACTGTGTGTGTGTGAGAGACGCTGTGTGTGACTGTGTGTGTGTGAGACGCTGTGTGTGACTGTGTGTGTGAGACGCTGTGTGACTGTGTGTGTGAGACGCTGTGTGTGACTGTGTGTGTGTGAGACGCTGTGTGTGACTGTGTGTGTGTGAGACGCTGTGTGTGACTGTGTGTGTGTGAGACGCTGTGTGTGACTGTGTGTGTGAGACGCTGTGTGTGACTGTGTGTGTGAGACGCTGGGTGTGACTGTGTGTGAGACGCTGTGTGTGAGACGCTGTGTGTGTGAGACGCTGTGTGTGTGAGACGCTGTGTGTGACTGTGTGTGTGTGAGAGACGCTGTGTGTGACTGTGTGTGTGTGAGACGCTGTGTGTGTGTGAGACGTTGTGTGTGACTGTGTGTGTGAGACGCTGTGTGTGACGGTGTGTGTGTGAGACGCTGTGTGTGACTGTGTGTGTGTGAGACGCTGTGTGTGACTGTGTGTGAGACGCTGTGTGTGACTGTGTGTGTGACTGTGTGTGTGAGACGCTGTGTGTGACTGTGTGTGTGAGACGCTGTGTGTGACTGTGTGTGTGAGACGCTGTGTGTGACTGTGTGTGTGAGACGCTGTGTGTGACTGTGTGTGTGAGAGACGCTGTGTGTGACTGTGTGTGTGAGACGCTGTGTGTGACTGTGTGTGTGAGACGCTGTGTGTGACTGTGTGTGTGAGAGACGCTGTGTGTGACTGTGTGTGTGAGACGCTGTGTGTGACTGTGTGTGTGAGACGCTGTGTGTGACTGTGTGTGAGAGACGCTGTGTGTGACTGTGTGTGAGACGCTGTGTGTGACCCACTGTGTGTGTGACTGTGTGACGGTGTGTTTGTGATGTGTGTGTAGTGCGACGGTGTAGTGTGTATGGGATGCTCTCTATTGGTGACTGTGTGTGAAGTGTGTGTATGACTGTGTGTGAGATGCTGTGTGTGTGTAATGTGATTGTCTTTGGTTACAGGGGTTCCGTGTGGCCTATGTGCTGTTTAAACGTCCGGCCGCCCTGAAGTCTGTGCAGTCATTGAGTTTGCGAGATCCCTGGGCGCTGTCCACAGCCTCCGAGCCGGTCCCCACAGGCCTGCAGAGTGAGTGCTCCCAGAATCCAGACAGTGGTGGTGAACAGTTGTTTTTCTGACTGGAGGGAAGTGTGCAGTGGTGTGCCCCGGGGGTCAGTATTGGGGCCACTGCTGTTTGTGATGATAATAATAATAACAATCCTTGCATTTTATATAGCGCTTTTCACGTCTTCTAGACGTCTCAAAAGCGCTTCACAGAATAGACTGTAAAGTGAATTAACCGTATATTTGAGGGTGAAATCTCTATATGATCTGTATAAATGACCTGGACGGGTACAGAGAGCACAATTTCCAAGTTTGAGATGATACAAAGCGAGGAAAAGCAGTAAACAGTGAGGAGGATAGTAGCCGACTGCAAGAGGACATAGACAGACTGGTAACATGGGCAGACACGGGGCAGATGAAATTTAATGCAGATAAATATTTTGGGAGGAAGAATGAGGAAGAATAAGCTGATGGTACTATCTTAAAGTGGGTGAAGGAACAGAGAGACCTGGGGGTTCATATCAGTAAATCTTTGAAGGTGGCCGGACAGGAAGATAAAGCTGTTAAAAAAGCATCCGGGATACGAGGCTTTATTAATAGGGGCATAGAATACACAAATCAGGAAGTTATGATGAACCTTTATATAAACACTGGTTAGGCCTCAGCGAGAGACTGTGTTCAGTTTTGGGCCCCATACTGAGGAGAAATGTTTTCACACAGCGAGTTCTTTGGATCTGGATTGCATTGCTTGAGAGGCTGGTGGAAGCCAATTCAATAACAACTTTTAACAACAACAACAAACTTCCATGTGTAAAGCGCCTTTCACGTCGGGAGGACGTCCCAAGGCGCTGGACAGACAGAGTTATGGACACGAGCTGGGGGTCGTGGTCAGGGAAGGGGGAGGGCAGGGGGGGAAGCAGGGAGATCAAAAGCATGATCGAAGAGGAGGCTTGAGGTGGGTCTTGAAGGTAGTGAGGGAGGGGTCGAGATGGAGGGAAGGCGGGATGGAGGTCCAAAGGGTGGGGGCAGAGTGGTGGAATAAGGGATATGCTCATCTAATGTGGCTCAACAACAACAACTTGCATTTATATAGCACCCTTCACACAGGTCAGTGTGTCTGAGCATTGCACAATGGTAGGTTTAGACGTCAAGCAAGATCTTACACTGCTTCTCTAATGTTATGAATGAAGGAGAAGTAGATAATTTCTTGGGGAGAGCGGGTGGGAGTGGGAATGATCAGGGCTATGGGGAGGAGCGGGGCAGTGGGGTTGATCAGGGCTATGGGGAGGAGCGGGGCAGTGGGGTTGACCAGGGCTATGGGGAGGAGCGGGGCAGTGGGGTTGACCAGGGCTATGGGGAGGAGCGGGGCAGTGGGGTTGATTAGGGTTGTGGAGAGCGGGGGAGTGGGGTTGATCAGGCCTATGGGGAGAGAGTGGGAGAGTGGGGTAGATCAGGCCTATGGGGAGAGAGCGGGGAGTGGGGTTCAATCAGGGCTATGGGGCGAGAGGGGGGGAGTGGGGTTGATTAGGGTTGTGGAGAGCGGGTGAGTGGGGTTCATCAGGGCTGTGGGGAGAGAGCGGGGGAGTGGGGTTGATCAGGGATATGGGGGGAGAGAGGGGAGAGTGGGGTTGATGTGGAAGCTCTTTTCAAAGACCCGGCACAGAGACGATGGGCTGAATGGCACCTTCTGGACTGTATAATTCTATGATTCTTTGCAACGTCCGTGAAGTGAGTGATTTTATCTGCGGATTATCGGGACTGAGAAACTCCTGTCTGTTGTGCCCCAGCGCTGCGGGAGAGTTTTAATGTCTACCTGAACAGGGCACAGGTGAGGAGTGAGGTTTAATGTCTTACCCGAAGGACGCGGTCTCTGACTGTGCGACCCTCTCTCCCCCCGGCGTTGCGCTGGTGTGTCAGCACGGACTGTGGGATAATGCTGGTTTCTCTCCCGCTGCAGAGTGGATCAGTGATTATGCCTCAAAGATTGTTGACGCGGGGGAACTGCAGAGCGAGGTGGACCAGTTTCTTCAGAAGTACGATGAGCAGGTGGCCAAGGTAATCTCCCCGTCTGTCACACACAGAAACCCGTCACCGTGACCAGCCGGGTGTCTTGTCACACACACAAACCCGTCACCGTGACCGGCCGGGTGTCTGTCACACACGGAAACCCGTCACCGTGACCAGCCGGGTGTCTGTCACATGTAAGAACATAAGAATTAGGGCAGGAGTAGGCCATTCGGCCCCTCGAGCCTGTGCCCCGCCATTCGATAAGATCGTGGCTGATCTTCAGACCTGACTCTAATTACCCGCCCTCTCCCCATAGCCCCTAATGCCTCTGTTGTTTAAACGTCTGTCAGTCTCAGCCTTGAAAATGTTCGAGGACTGACATCTACAGCCTTCTGGGGAGTGAATTCCATAAAGTCACTGCCCTCTGAGTGAAGAAATGTTTCCTCAACTCTGTTCTAAAAGGCTGACCCTTAATTTTCAGACTGTGACCCCTGGTTATAGATTCTCCCACCGGGGAAACAGACCCTCGGTGTCTATCCAGCTTTTAAGAATCTTATAATGTTTCAATAAGATCCCCCCTAATTCTTCTGTACTCTATAGAGAATATACTCTCGGTGCGGTCTCACCAGGGCCCTATACAGTTGCAGCAAGACTTCCCTACTCTTGTACTCTAAACCTTTGGCAATGAATGCTAATATGCCGTTCGCCTTAGTTGCTGCTGCACCTGCAAACTAACTTTTTGAGAATGGTGTACAAGGACACCCAAATCCCTCTGAACACTAACACTATCTAATCTCTCCCCCTCTAGAAAATAATCTATTTTTCTATTTTTGCTGCCAAGGTGAATAACTTCACACTGCCCCACATTAAATTCCATCTGCCACCTACTCGCCCACTCCCCGAGCCTATCTATATCCCGTTGCAATCTTTTTGCATCATCCTCAGAGCTCACTCTCCCACCGAGTTTAGTGTCATCTGATCTGGATCATTGATGTAAATTGTAAATAGCTGAGGCCCAGCACTGATCCTTGTGGCACTCCACTCGTCACATCTCCTGCCAATTATCTCCTGCCAATTTGAGAATGACCGGTTTATCCCTACTCTCTGTTTTCTACCCATTAGCCACTCTTCAATCCGTGCTAATATGTTCCCATTAATCCCGTGGGCCATAGCCTTGTGCAATAGCCTTTTGTGTGGCACTTTGTCAAATGCCTTTTTAAAATCTAAATATACTACATCTACTGGTTCCCCCCTATCTAACCTGCAGATACATCTTCAAAAAACTCTAAAAGATTAGTGAAGCATGACTTCCCTTTTGTAAAGCCATGTTGACTCTGCCTAATCTTGTTATGGTCTTCCAGGAATCCCATAACGACATCTTTAATTAAGGACTCAAGAATTTTCCCTCCCACTGATGACAGACTAACTGGTCTATAGTTCCCCATCTTTTCTCTCCCACTCTTCTTAAACAGTAGTTTGCAATCTTCCATCAATGGGAACCGTTCCGGAATCCAGAGAATTTTGGAAGATCAAAGACAAGCTGTCCACTATCTCAGTAACCATCTCTTTTAAAACCCTAGGATGTAGGCCATCAGGTCCAGGAGATTTATCAGTTTTAAGACCTGATAATTTACCTAAAACCATTTCTTTACTAATATTAATTCCCAAGTTGCTCGCTAACATTGTCTTCTTGGTTCCCCTCTATTCTTGGTAGGTTTTCAGTGTCTTCTAAGGTGAAGACAGTAGCAAAGTACTTGTTTAATGACTCTGCCATGTCTTTGTCCCCTACTATAATTCTCCCGTCTCTGCCTGTAACGGACCCACATTTACCTTTGACAGCCTCTTCCTCTTTATATATTTATAAAAACTCTTGCAGTCTGTCTTTATGTTCTTCGCTAGTTTGCCCTCATATTCCATTTTCTCCCTCTTAATCACTTTTTTGGTTCTCCTTTGTTGATCCCTAAAGTTCTCCCAATCCTCGGGTTTACTACTCATCTTAGCTGTTTTATAGGCTTCTTCCTTTAACTTTATACTTTCCCTAACTGCTCTAGTTAGCCACGGTTGGGCCACCTTTCCTGTGGCATTCTTATTCCTCAAAGGAATACGTGCTCGCTGGGAATTTTGCACTATCTCCTTAAACGTCTGCCATTGCTGGTCTACTGTCAAATCCTTAAGTCTAATTTCCCAGTTTATTTTGGCTAAATCCTCTCTCATACCAGCAAAATTGGCTCTACTTAAATTTAAAACCTTTGCTTCGGACTTAACTACTTCTCTCTCTAACTTAATGCCAAATTCCATCGTATTATGATCACTTTGCCCGAGAGGAGCCTTAATTTCCAGTTTGCTGATCAGCTTTGCTTCATTGCACAAAACAAGGTCTAATATGGCCTGTTCCCTGTTTGGCTCCTCGGCACACTGATCTAGATAATTATCCCTAATACATTCTATAAACGCTTCCTCTATCTTATTTTTCCCAATTTGGTTGTCCCAATCTTTGTGCAGATTAAAATCACCCATAATTAATGTTTTTCCTTTGCTACATGCTCTGCTAATTTCCTGATTTATACCTTGAGAGATACTGTGGCTGCTGTTCGGGGGTCTATAAACTACTCCCACTAGAGTTTTCTGCCCCTTGTTGTTACGTATCTCTACCCATACTGACTCCACTTCCTGCTTTTCTGATTTAAAATCTTTCCTCACTACTGTTTTTATCCCATCCTTTATTATCAGGGCCACCCCCCCTCCTCGTTTACCACATTGCCTATCTTTCCTATACACCACGTACCATGGAATATTTAATAATAATAATAATCCTTGCATTTGATATAGCGCTTTTCACGTCGGGAGGACGTCCCAAAGCGCTTCACAGAACACACTGTTAAGTAAATTGACTGTATATTTGTGGGCGAACGCGGCAGCCAATTGCGCACAGCAATGTCCCACAAACAGTCGTAGAATGAAAATGATCAATTTATTATTGTTTTTGGTTTTGGAGGGATTATTATTATTAGGATTATTATTAGGCGTGTGGAGTAAGGAAACTTGCCCAAGGTTTCGCCCCACCCTTGATCTCCCTGTAACCGTGTCTCGGTGATGGCTTCCCGATCGTACCCGTTTGTTTCTATTTGTGCAGTTAGTTCATCTCTCGTTTCGAATGCTTCACGCATTCAGATACAGCACCTTTATTTCTGACTTCGGGCTATTAGTCCTATTCACCAGTACCCTATCCCTGGGCTTCCTTTCCCCACTTGACACACTTTGTTCATCTCCCTGGTTAATCTGCTCTCAGTTCTAATTTTAATTGTGACGGGTTATATGTGATTGAATTTACCCGCCTCTTAGTAGTTTAAAGCCCTGTTTAAAGGGTTTGGAAACCCGTCACAGTGCTGAAGAGTCTCCAAACTAGAATAATGGATTTCATGTCTGTCGTCTACATCTGAAAATTCCAGTGTGTGGAATGGGATGTGCTCTCTCTCCTCCAAGATGCTGGGATGTCCTCCCGAAGTGAAAGGTGAGTCACATTACTGAGAGCCTGATGGAGCAGGTTGGTGTTGAGCTGAGCTGCTGGTTATGTGTGTTTAGGAGGAAGCTCAGGCAGAGACGGAGGACGGGGTCCCAGACGAGGACGGCTGGGTAAAGGTCACACGCAGAGGTCGGCGACCTGGCATCCCCCGGACAGAGGCCAGTAACCTGCGGGCGGCGCAGAAAGAGAAACGCAACCGAGCCCGAAGGCAACTGCTCAACTTCTACACCTGGCAGCACCGAGAGACCAAGAGAGAGCGTGAGAAACCTTTACTATCATCCCTCTCGGGATATCGTGTGGCTTCATCTCATCTCCCCCAGAGAGAGAGCCACAGGGAAAGGCATCTGTAACAATGGGTTTCAGCCTCGAGAGTCTGACCTGGGAGTGTGGACACACAGTGTAGAGGAGCTTTACTGTGTCTCTAACTCTGACCTGGGAGTGTGGACACACAGTGTAGAGGAGCTTTACTGTGTCTCTAACCCTGACCTGGGAGTGTGGACACACAGTGTAGAGGAGCTTTACTGTGTCTCTAACCCTGACCTGGGAGTGTGGACGCACAGTGTAGAGGAGCTTTACTGTGTCTCTAACCCTGACCTGGGAGTGTGGACGCACAGTGTAGAGGAGCTTTACTGTGTCTCTAACCCTGACCTGGGAGTGTGGACACACAGTGTAGAGGAGCTTTACTGTATCTCTAACCCTGACCTGGGAGTGTGGACGCACAGTGTAGAGGAGCTTTACTGTGTCTCTAACCCTGACCTGGGAGTGTGGACGCACAGTGTAGAGGAGCTTTACTGTGTCTCTAACCCTGACCTGGGAGTGTGGACACACAGTGTAGAGGAGCTTTACTGTGTCTCTAACCCTGACCTGGGAGTGTGGACGCACAGTTTAGAGGGAACTTTACTGTGTCTCTAACCCTGACCTGGGAGTGTGGACACACAGTGGAGAGGAGCTTTACTGTGTCTCTAACCCTGACCTGGGAGTGTGGACGCACAGTGTAGAGGAGCGTTACTGTGTCTCTAACCCTGACCTGGGAGTGTGGACGCACAGTGTAGAGGAGCGTTACTGTGTCTCTAACCCTGACCTGGGAGTGTGGACACACAGTGTAGAGGAGCTTTACTGTGTCTCTAACCCTGACCTGGGAGTGTGGACGCACAGTTTAGCGGGAACTTTACTGTGTCTCTAACCCTGATCTGGGAGTGTGGACGCACAGTGTAGAGGAGCTTTACTGTGTCTCTAACCCTGACCTGGGAGTGTGGACGCACAGTGTAGAGGAGCTTTACTGTGTCTCTAACCCTGACCTGGGAGTGTGGACACACAGTGTAGAGGAGCTTTACTGTATCTCTAACCCTGACCTGGGAGTGTGGACGCACAGTGTAGAGGAGCTTTACTGTGTCTCTAACCCTGACCTGGGAGTGTGGACGCACAGTGTAGAGGAGCGTTACTGTGTCTCTAATCCTGACCTGGGAGTGTGGACGCACAGTGTAGAGGAGCGTTACTGTGTCTCTAACCCTGACCTGGGAGTGTGGACGCACAGTGTAGAGGAGCGTTACTGTGTCTCTAACCCTGACCTGGGAGTGTGGACGCACAGTGTAGAGGAGCGTTACTGTGTCTCTAACCCTGACCTGGGAGTGTGGACACACAGTGTAGAGGAGCTTTACTGTGTCTCTAACCCTGACCTGGGAGTGTGGACGCACAGTGTAGAGGAGCATTACTGTGTCTCTAACCCTGACCTGGGAGTGTGGACGCACAGTGTAGAGGGAGCTTTACTGTGTCTCTAACCCTGACCTGGGAGTGAGGACACACAGTGTAGAGGAGCTTTACTGTGTCTCTAACCCTGACCTGGGAGTGTGGACGCACAGTGTAGAGGAGCTTTACTGTGTCTCTAACCCTGACCTGGGAGTGTGGACGGTAACATTATGTCCCTCACGTTCTATTCACTCTTTTAGATATTGCTCAGCTTCGGAAGAAGTTTGAAGAGGACAAACAGAAGATCACCCTCATGAGGGCCCAGCGCAAGTTCAGGCCTTACTGAGAGGCCGGCCTCAACCTCTCTTCCTGAGACCATCTCTGCTCCTCACACAGCGCTGTGTGAGTGACTGACCTCTGTGCTCCCCACACAGCGCTGTGTGAGTGACTAACCTCTGTGCTCCCCACACAGCGCTGTGTGAGTGACTGATCTCTGTGCTCCCCACACAGCGCTGTGTGAGTGACTGATCTCTGTGCTCCCCACACAGCGCTGTGTAAGTCCATCACAGGGTGGGAGTGATCTTTCTGACCCAGTCTGTATGTCTGTGTGTGTATTGGGCGACGGCTGAGCTGAAACCCTGATCTGTAAACAAAACAATACAATATTTCTTACCATTTTCTGAGTTTCCAGCGTTGCTGCATTGATCTGTGACCATCTCTAGGCCTGTTCCTGAGCTACAGATTACAGGTGTACAGCAACTTTCATGTCAAGAGGATGTCCCAAGACACTGAACAGTCAGGGTTTGCATCTGAGCAGGAGGTTGGGATCAGGAGGGTGACGAAGAGGAGGGTCATGGGACAGGCCTTGAAGGAGGAAGGGAGCAACTGTGGAATGGAGTTTCAAAGGGTGGGGGCAGAGAGGCTAACGTTATATAAATGCAAGTTGTCCCTGACTTCTCTGCTGTCTTCGACACTCGACTATTCTGGTGTCTCCACAAACAGCCCTTGTACCCTCTCGTGCAGTATTCCTTAGGGCTTTGTCCTTGGTTCTCTCCTCTTCAATCTAAATGCGCTCCCTCTAGGTGACAACATCCACAATCATAGGGTTAACTTCCACATATGAGGATGACTGCCCCCCAATTCTATCTGCCTCCACCCTTGACTCCAGGATCCACTGCTGTCCTGAGAGACTGCTGTCAGACATCAAGTCCTGGATCAGAGCTAACTCAACCTGCTCTGCCTTCCCCACCTCCACAACATCGCCCAGCTCCGCCACTGTCTCACATCACAGTCCCCCGAGACCCTCATACACGTATTGATCACATCCAGGCTCGACTATGCCAACTCCCTGACCTCCTAGTCGGCCTCCCCAACTCTTCCCTCCACAAACTGCAAATCATTCAAAACTCTGCAGCTCGTGTTCTCTCCCGCACCAGGCTCCGTGACCCCCTCACCCTCGCCTGACTCCACTGGCTCCCAATCACCCAGAGGATAGCTTTCAAAAAGCCCTCCACAGCCTCGTTCCTCCCTACCTTGTGATCTGCTAACTCCATGTGGACCTGTCCACTCTCACCCCTCAGCAAGCTCTGGCCTGCTCCACATCCCCAACCCGGCCCACCCCACCATCAGCAGTCGGGCCTTCAGTGTTTCTGCATCCACCCTTTGGAACTCCATCCCAGTCCCGTCACCTCACCCCCTTCCTTGCCTCCTTTAAGCCTCGTCTCAAGTCGCACCTCTTCAGGAGCCTTTGGTCACCCTCCTACCCCGCCCTCTTGATACCAACCCCAGCTCGGGCACATTCCTGACTGTCCAGCGCTTTGGGACCTTCTCCCTAAGTGGCTCCACAGGAATGTATTTGTTGTTGTTGTTGCTCCACCCCTTCCCCCTGGCTGTCTCTGGCCATAGCTGTTGCCCATCAGAGCCTGAGACCCAGTGGTTAGTTCATGATTATTTGGAGTCTGAATGTCACCTGCTCAAGAGTCAACCATCACCTGCCAACGGTCAACTGGCAACTGTGACCGAGGCTGGAGATCACCAGAGAGACAGGAAACACGGTCAGGATACTTTCTCTGTATCTTTCATATACAATCACTGTGTTATCGAGTATAAAGTGTAGAGAATGTATTTAATATTAAACCATCACACAGTCTCTAATCTCTCCTCAGGTTGTGATCACACAGACAAGATATCTTTAATATTCAATCTATGTTACAAAATTAGTTATTTATAGCGCCTTTCACATTGGGAGGACGTCCCAAGGCGCTGGACAGGCAGGAAAGTGGACCTGAGCTGGGGGTCGGGATCGTGGTGAGTGGAGGGGAAAGAGGGTGATCGAAGGCATGGTCAGAGAGACGTTGTGAGGTGGATCTTGAAGATGAGGGAGGAAGCGATGCAGAGGGACTGTGGGATGGAGTTCCAGAAGGTGGGGGCAGAGAAGGTGAGGGCCTGCCTGCTAATCGTAGGGCGGGCAAGGCGTGGGAAATGAAGAACGCTGGAACTTGCCTAGTGGAGGGAGCGGACAGTTGGTAGGCGGTTTAGAACGTGACAGAGATTGGGGGGGGTGGAGAGCAGGGAGGAGCAAGACCATGGAGGGCTTTGAAGGTGAGGATCAGGATCTTGAACTGTATCCTGTGTGACGGGAAGCCGGTGGACAATGGTGGGCAATGATGCGTTGATAGGGTCATGGAGCCTGGTGCGGGAGAGGACACGGGCTGCAGAGTTCTGGATGATCTGCAGCCTATGGAGGGGAGCGTTGGGGAGGCTGACAAGCATTAAGTTTGGGGTGTATTCGAGCCTGGATGTGATAAATGAGGGTCTCGGGGGGGCCTGGGGCATTAGACAGTGGTGGATTGGGCGATGTTGCAGAGGTGAGGAAAGGCGGAGCTGGTCATAGTACAGATGTGGGGGATGAAGGACTATTGAGGGTCGAACAGATACTGAGTTTCTGTATTGCCTCTGAGGTGTAGCATGCATCCATGAAGGGTGATGCTGTCAGTGCCCAAGGTATGGAAGTGCTGACGGGAGCAAAGCAGGAGAGCCTCATTGACGTTCAACTGGAGGAAGTTAGCTCTCATCCAGGACTTGACATCTGACAGGTCCTTGAATCGACAATGGAGTCGAAGAGATAAGAGTTTGGCGTCATCCACATACATGTGGAAGTTAACTCCATGTCTAAAAGAGGGAGCATATAGATATTGAAGAGGAGGGGACCAAGGACACAGCCCTGAGGGAACACCACACATGATGATGCGGGGACTGGAGCAGAAGCCATTAGTTGAGATAAAGTGGAGATTGAGGGAGAGGTAGGATTTGAATCAGGCAAGGTCAGGCCCGTGAAGGTTGAGCTGAAAGGAGAAGCGGTGGAGGAAGTGGCGAAGGTAGCAGAGAGGTCGAAGACGACAAGGCAGAGGGAGTCCTGGGCGCCGATGGACAGAATGTCATTAATGACTTTGACCAGGACTGTGTCTGTGCTATGGGCATCATGGGAACCCAATTGGGAGAGTTCAGAGAGGAAATAATAATAATAATAATTCTTGCATTTGATATAGCGCTTTTCACGTCGGGAGGACGTCCCAAAGCGCTTCACAGAACACACTGTATAGTGAATTGACTGCATATTTGTGGGCAAACGCGGCAGCCAATTGCGCACAGCAATGACCCACAAACAGTCATAGATTGAAAATGACCAATTTATTATTGTTTTTAGTTTTGGAGGGTTTATTATTAAGTGTGTGGTGGGAGAGGAAAGAACGACGCTGGGACGTGACGACTTGTTCCAGGGTGTTGGAGAGGAATGGGAGGTGAAGATGGGGCGATAGCTGGAGAGCAGTGATGCATCCAGGGAAGGTTTTTAGAGTATGTGAACAGTGCCAGTGGATAAGGAGAGGTTGATGATGTCAGTTAAAAGAGGGGCCAAGAGAAGGTAGTTAATATTAACCAGACACAGTCTCGCCAATCTCTCCTCATTCTGTGATCCACACTGACACCCTCAGTCCAGCTCTGGTTCCCTGCAGTAAGTTCAGCTGTTTCCCTCCATCTGAACTGAACTGATTCTCCCACAACCTGAAAACAGAGTAAGATTAAACAGGAAATAAACACATCAGGCAATAATATAAACTCTGTAACCTGTCCATGTTGGTGTTTGGAAATAGTTGTGATGGGATTTATTTATTTATTAGTCAAATAACTAACCCCTTTCCCTCTGTGTTTATGATCACGTCAAACACTGACACAAACACTCACCTGATCTCCTCCAGGCTGGTGCAGGTCAGTATGAGGCGGCGGAGAGCGGGGACAGAGCCATCTGTGAAGGAGTTAGTCCCCAGGGACAGGAACCTCAGTGAGCAGCTTGAACTAAGAACGGAGACCAGATCATCGGTGCAGCCATCTGTCAGACTGTTATCACACAGCCTGGAGATCAGAGATACGGAGAAATAACAGGGATTAGAGTAAACACAGTCCTCATCATCCACTGCAACTCACTGTAATCCACTGCCTGTAACCTTCAGAAGGGACGACTGTCTGACAGCATAACCCGAGGTTGTAATGAACTTCAGCCTCCACAGCCCCCTCGGCCACCATTGGGACCACTCAAGAGATTTCCCCGATAATGTGAGGACACAAAGTCCAGAACCTTCAGCCATAGAGTCACCCAGTGGACGGGAGGATTCCTTTCTCGTGTTAGTAAAGACATCCCTGGGATTGATCGGGATAATACAAAAAAAACCTTGCATTTGATACAGCGCCTTATCATGGCTTCAAGGCATCTCTAAGCTCTTCACTGAGTATACTGTAAAGTTGGGACGTCCCGATGTGAAAGGCGTTGGACAAATAGCATTTTGTTGTTGTTGTAAAGTGAATTGACTATATATTTTCTCAGCGAAATGTAGCAGCCAATTGCACAAACAGTCATGGATTGAGTGACCAATTTATTATTATATTTTTTGAAGGGATTATTATCCCCAGAAAAGTAATCCGCCAATAAGCTATCAACCGGATTCCTACCTACAGAGGTATAAGGAAACGTGCCCAACATTTCACCCTGCCCGGGAATCAAACCCAGGTTTCTTGCTTGCAAGGCGAGTGCTCTATCCTCTGGGGAGAGAATGTGGACTCCAGTCCATTCCAGACAAACAGAAATTTCGAGTCATGTGTGTAACCCTCAGGAGGTTGGTTTGGAGACTCTTAATCATGATGATGGTTTGTGCTGACAATAGTAGAGACCTGCAACCCCCACAGTGTGTGGAGAGATTGGCCTGACCAGGGCAGGAGCTTTGGGATTAGATACAATGGGAGCAGATTTTGGGCTTGGAGACAGTTTAGGGGTCGGAGCTGCTACTGTCCACATGTCACTAGAGCTGGGGTTTGCAGCACATGGTTCATCTTTCTTGTTAATAAACATTGAGAGTTTGATCTAAAGCTGACTTGTGGCCTCACCCTGCCACACCGATTCCTGTCACAATATTCAGTATCAACTGATCAGACAGTGGCAATAAGAGACATTGGAGTCATTCAGACTCTGGAGACACAGTCTGTTACCTACCACAGTCTCTGTATTTTACACTCCGGGTTCCTCAGAGCCTCACACAGTCGCTTCACTCCTGAATCTCCCAGATCATTATTACTCAGGTTCAGCTCCATCAGTGAATAGTTTGTACTCAGTGCAGAGGCGAGATCCTCGGTACAATCAGCTGTCAGACTATTATAGCTCAGCCTGGAGATCAGAGACACAGAGAAATAACAGGTATCAAAGTAACCACAATGTTCACAATCCAACCCATGAATGGGAAGGGGTTCCTGAGGTCACATGCAGAAACGGAAATGGACTTCGACCTCTGCCATCAACAAGGAGACTCGGAGGATTTCTCCAATATCGAGATGACGTTTGCGAAGCAAGTGCAGAACCTCCCATCACACAGCGACACACGAGTTACAGCTGATATTACCTCAAAGCAATGTTAGGGTTCCCCAAGCCTTGGCTCTTGCCGACCTACACCCAGTAATTTCCTGGATTAGGTGAGCAGCATGTGTCCCACCAGGGAGAGAATGTGCACTCCAGTCCATTCCAGACAAAAAATTCTAGTCATGTGGTTGGTTTGGAGACTCTTAATCATGATGATAGTTTGTGCTGACAATAGTAGAGACCTGCAGCCCCCACAGTGTGTGGAGGGAATGGCTGGACCAGGGCAAGAGCTTTGGGATTAGATACAATGAGAGTGAGTTTTGGTCTTGGAGACAGTTTAGGGGTTGGAGCTGCTACTGTCCACATATCACTAGAGCTGGGGTTTCCAGCACATCATAGAATCATAGTATACAGCACAGGAGGAGGCCATTTGGCCCATCGTGCCTGCCCCAACTCATTGAAAGAGCTTCCCAACTAGTCCCACTCCCGCTCTCACCCCATAGCTATGCACATTTTTTCTTTTCAAGTACCAATCTTTTAAATGTGAATTCCAGACCGTAACAATTCTATGTGTGAAAAAAATTTCTCCCAGTCTACCCTCTGGTTATTTTGTCAATCATGTTAAATCTGTGTTCACCTGTCAGAGGAAATAGGTTCTCCCTATTTACACTTAATAATTTTGAACATTTCTATTAAATCTCCCCTCAACCTTTTCTGTCCTAAGGAGAATAATCCCACCCCCTCTAGTCTCTCCACATAATTGTAGTCCCTCGTCTGGTAAATCCTCTCTGTTCCCTCTTCAAAGCCCTGACATTCTTCCTAAAGGTGCGGTGCCCAGAATTGGACACAATACTCCAGCTGAGGCCTAACCAGCGATTTGTAAAGTTTCAACAATAACCTCTTTGCTCTTACACTCGATGCCTCTATTTGCAAAGCCACGTATCCAGTATCCTTTTTTAAACACTTTGTCAACTTGTCCTGCAACCTTCAAAGAGTTGTGTATGTGAACCCCAGGTCTCTTTGTTCCTGCGCCCTCTTTACCATTGTACATGATTGATGATTGTACCTGTTGCCGCTCCTCCCAAAATACATCACTTCACATTTCTCTGCATTAAATTCCATCAGCCATGTGTCTGCCCATTTTACCAGCCATTCTATGTCCTCCTGCCATCTGCTACTATCCTCCTCACCGTTTATTACCTTTCCAAGTTTTGTGTCATTTGCAAACTTTAAAATTTTGCTCTCTTTACCCAAATCCAGGTGTTAATATGTATTAAAAAGAGCAGTGGTCCTAATACTGACCCCTGGGGTACACCACTGTACACTTCCCTCCAGTTTGACAACAACTGTTTTCAATTGCTTTCTGCTTTCTGTCCCACAACAACAACAAGATTGCATTTATAGAGCGCCTTTCACGTCGGGAGGACGTCCCAAGGCGCAGTTGGGTCAGGACCCGAGCATTGGGGTGGAAATGGTCAGGGTGAGGGGAGGGAAGGGAGGGAGCGAGGAGGGGGTAGAGAGTCGAGAAGGGAGCTGAAGGCACTGTCAAAGAGAAAGGTCTTGAGACCGGCCTTGAAGGAGGAAAGGTGAAGGCACTGGGGATAGAGTTCCAGAACCTCGGGGCCAATTTCAGATCTATTTTGCTTCTGTTTCCATAATCCCATGGGCTTCAAATTTGAAGTGAAAATTAATTTTGTCCTAGATTATGGTTTTGAGAAGTTTCCTCACCACCGACATTAGGCTGACTGGCCTGTTTATCAGCTTTATCCCTCTCCCTGTTTTTGAACAGGGATAATAATAATAATCCTTGCATTTGATATAGCGCTTTTCACGTCGGGAGGACGTCCCAAAGCGCTTCACAGAACACACTGTAAAGTGAATTGACTGTATATTTGTGGGCGAACGCGGCAGCCAATTGCGCACAGCAATGTCCCACAAACAGTCGTGGATTGAAAATGACCAATTTATTATTGTTTTTGGTTTTGGAGGGATTATTATTAGGCTCTGTGTGGAATAAGGAAACTTGCCTGAGGTTTCGCCCTCTGCCTGGAATTGAACTCAGGTCTCTTACTTGCAAAGCGAGTGCTCTAACCACTGAGCTACAGGGCTCCACACTCTGACATTTGCAACCCTCCAGTCCTCTGACAATACATACATATCCAAGGAGGATTGAAAGATTGTACTTCCCATCAGCAATCTAGCAAGATTCCCAATAAATGTTGAGTTTTTGATCTAAAAGATAATAATAATTGCATTTGATTAGCGCCTTATCATGTCTTTGAGACATCTCAAAGCGCTTCACAGATTATACTGTGAAGTGAATTGACTGACGTGGCCTCACAACAAGATTACATGTGTACAGCGCCTTTCACGTCGGAAGGACATCCCAAGGCTCTGGACAGTGACATCATTTCACACCAGAGCTGGGGTCAGAGGGGGAGAAGGGAGGGGAGGGGAAGGGGGGTGACCGATGGCATGGTCGAAGAGGATGGTTTTGAGGCGGGACTTGAAGGAGGATAAGGAGGGGGCGAGGATGGGGGATGGAATTCCAGAGGTTGGAACAACACCACAATATTCAGTACCAACCAGTGGCAATAACTATATTGAGACATTGGAGTCATTCAGACTCTGGAGACACAATCTGTTACTTACCACAGACTCTGTATTTTACACTCCGGGTTCCTCACAGCCTCACACAGTCTCTTCACTCCTGAATCTCCCAGATCATTATCACTCAGGTTCAGCTCCATCAGTGAGCAATTTGTATTGAGAGTGGAGACCAGATCCTCAGTACAATTAGCTGTCAGAAGGTTAGATGCTACCCTGGAGATCAGAGACATAGAGAAATAACAGGAACCAGAGTAAACAGTGTTCATTACTATTTATTATACAATCTGGAGATCAGAGACTCTGAAAAATAAAAGGATGAGTAAACGTAGTTCTGATTCCTATCTGAGAAACTGTGAAGGCCTGGAGAGTGTGGGTGGGGGGGACAGAAACAAAGTCCAAAGCAGTGTGAAGGTGAAAGGTGCCAGGCAGCTGAGGCTGGATGACAGGAACGGACAGACCTGGACAGGGTGAAAGGAACGCGTAGTGACAATTATGCCGCCTACACATGAAAATATCCCCGAGTGTGGAACAGACAGATATGTTTTGGGTTGGAGGATTGGTGAAATTCGAGGCTCAGAGACTCTAGAATATGTATTGGGGAGATGACCGCTGGAGTTTAACCAGATAAAGCTACACAAAGTCCTGTTTGAGAAAGGGAACTGTCTGAAAAACATTCTGTTATTTTTTTCTGGCTGTGACAGCGAGAAACACCTGGCTATAATGCTTTGGCTCACAGGGTTAACAGGAGCTGAGTGGGAAGAATCTCTGCTCCCAGTGATTTCCTCTCCAAATCCTGCCACTGAGCCGGTTCTTTTAGCTTTTAGGATCACAGCATTAATAGCGTCCACACCTGCTCAGGATATAATAAACTGTTTAGAGCCCAGTTACACAGTCTGTTACTTACCCCAGACTCTGTATTTTACACTGCGGGTTCCTCAGCGCCACAGACAGATGTTCCACTCCAGAATCTCCCAGATTATTGCCCCACAGTCTGGACACAGAGACAGAAACACAGTGAATCTCTGGTGTTGTGAACCAGGGTCAGACAGACCCCAATGTGTGCACGTACGCACACACATACAAACACACAGAGACGCACACACACACACACACACACACAGGCACACACACACACACGGTACACACACACACAGACACACACCCCCACAAGCACACATATACACGGTATACACACACACACACACATTGTTCCCAAATTACGGTTTACGTGTACAAAAGCTTACATTTAGAGCGTTTGTCACGTAGAGTAACGTCTCGGGTGCTTTACAGGGATGGGGTGGGAAGAAGGTTTTATCGGCCCCGGCCTCTATGACAAACCCCACCACTTCCTGCCTCTCACGCCCAGTGATGCAGGTCCCTGGGTTGGCTCCTGCCCCCTCTTGGCCTCTCTCCCACTCTGGTCCCACCCAGAGCAGGCCCCACAGCACTCACTCCCTGCCCTCAGCAGCCAAATCTCCTCCGGCCCATGTCACTGGGCCACAGGCATCCTCTGTCCTGTCCTCAGGGCAGCAGGACCTCCCTGTGCTGCCGTCCAGAGCAGAGAGAGCCTCCTGGGGCTGCCTCACCCCCTCTGTGTGACATAAGACACCCTCCTCTGTCAGTGCAATTCACCACTGCACCGTAGGGCCTTCACAGCCTTAAGGGTCCTCCTGCCCTCAGTGCCCACTGTACAGCCACTGAGGAATGTACTTAGATCACACAAACCTGGATGTGGACCCTATGAATAATATCGTTGTAAGGCAAGATTAGCAGAGCAGACACTGACTGACTGCCAGGGGGTCCTGGGCAATTATCAGACCCACACAATGTCTGGGGTCACAGCCCTTCAACCACCGGGTACCCAAGAACATCAGCGGCAATCAGTGACATCCACAGGTTTCCTGCAGATTTATAGAGAGAATTTAAACTAACTTCAGAGCTGCAGAGCTGAGTTCAAGCACTCCAATACATTGCCACCATGACTATATAAATGTAAGGTATAGTTGTTCTGAGGATTTATGGCTGAATAGAATAAATCCCTGTAACTTGAGAGCTGAGCATTGATACAGTAAATGTTTAAATGAAGTGAGATAATCTTTATCAAATCTTACAATAAAATCAGACATGATAAAATAAATTAGTGAATGTAAGATGTGAATGGAGTAGAGGTGAGGAGCGTGAGGTGTTTAGACAAGGTACGAGTCTAGAGGAATTCAGTGACTGGATAGGGGAATGATAGAGATTCTCAGACACAGCCTGAGACAAGGAAATGGTACTGAATGTATCCAGCCAGGTATAGGCCAGTCCTCACAAGTCTTGAATATAACATCAAGGCTCATTCAAAGACTAAATGCTTTAGAGCTACAATATTAACTCCCAATGAGACAGCTTATTCACACACATTCACAAACGTACCTCATTGTCTAATATTCCAGAATTCTAGCTTTAACCATCAATAAGAACAAACCTGAGATGTTTGCACTTGTGCAGTGAGGGCACCAGGCGCTGGATCCCTTCAACTCGGATCTTGCAGTCATTAAGATTGAGGTTTCCTATCGTATCACAGAGCTGGAACACATGAGACAGTACAGCACAGTCTAGAGGGTTCAATGTGAAATGACTAAAGTCCAGTTTCTCCACAGCGCCCACTGTGATCTGAGCCAATCTATGATTCTGAGACTCAAACAGGTAATACAGCATGTTCAGCAGCTTCCGTTTACCACCTTCACCCACTGCCTGTCTAATCCTCGCCTCAACATTCAACTTTAGCCAGTCAATGGCTTCACAGACTGACTTGTGAGGTAACGGCCCCAGGATCTCCTCCAGCTGCCGAGCTGTGTGTGGTGAGGAGAGACCCACAACAAACCGCAGAAAGATCTCAAAGCGCCCGTCGTTCTGTGTGTGAACCTGGTCCAGCAGCTCCAGCAGGTTCCTGCGGGCGGGAGTCAGGTACTGCGCGAGAGCAGCCACAAACTCCTGGACGGTGAGGTGAGGGAATGTGTACACAACTCGTCTCCCACCATCATCCTTCTCCAGAATCTCCATCATAAACCCTGAGATGAAGGTTGAGGGTTTAAGCTGATGGTGATGTAAATGGTCGTCATTGAACACAATAGTCATGTTACAGACCCCCTCATAGGCCATCTCCCCGGCTCTCAGCATCACCTCCCGAGGGCTGTCACTGGCTCGGGGATGGTTCTTCAGGATGTTGTAGATGTAATTGGCGTACAGCTGGGTTATGGTTTTGGGGGGAGGCTGTCTGTGCTCTGGATGTTTGAAGATTGGCTCCAATGTGCAGCAGAGGATCCAGCAGTAGGAAGGGTTGAAGCACATGGTGTACAGGATGTCATTCTCCTTCACATATCTCAGCACTTCAGCTGCAATCTTCTCATCTGCAAAGAAGCGTCTGATGTAATCTTCCTTTCCTTCAGCAAAGAATCCCTGGATTTCAGCCCAGAGGTTGATGTTGGTGTGGTATAAAGACTCCAGGGCAGTTGGGCGGCTTGTGATCAGCACTGAACAACCTTTCAGGACTTCCTGCTGCACCAGAGAGCGCACAATGTCAGCCACGGGACAGTGGCTTTCAGGCCCAGGGCAGCTGAGCCCAGGGTCTGGGTTTAACTCACTGTCTGTGAACTCAATCCTGTCCTTGAACTCGTCCAAACCATCAAACACAAACAGCAAATATTCCGGCTTCTCCCAGATCTCCTCCTTGACCAGGGCAGTTTCTGTGCTATGGCAGCACGGAAACCTGACTGAAGGGGTTCGAAAAGAGAATGGGTGGAAAGGAAAGAGCGCAGTTGGGAGGCGACAACTCTTTCCAAGACCTTGGAGAGAAAGGGGAGGTTGGAGATGGGCCGGTAGCTTGATAGCTGCGACGCATCAAGGGAGGGTTTTTTCAGGGTGGGCGTGATGATGGCAGTTTTTAATGGAATGGGGACAGAGCCAGAGGAGAGGGACAGGTTGATGATGTCAGTGATATGTGGGGCAAGAAAGTGGAGCTGGGAGATAAGGAGTGGAGTGGGGATGGGGTCAAGGGAGCAGGTGGTTGGTTTTAGGGATAGGATGAGTTCAGTGACAGAGGGTGGGGAAACGGGTACGAAGGTGTGTAGGGGAGGATGGGTAGGAGTCGGAGTGTGGGAGGGAAGGGGTGGGTGGTGGGTGGAAGTTGGAGGGGAAGTGACCGCGGAGCGGATTCCCTTGATCTTGGATTCAAGGAAATCCAGCATCTCCTCGCAGTGAAGGTTGGAGGAGATGACCTGCGCGGGGTGGCGGGGGGGACGGAGGAGTCGGGTGTGGTGGAAAACAGTAGCCTGGGGTTGTTCTTCGCCTCCAGGATTATCCTGGAGTAGAAGGACGACTTGGCCGAGGCTAGAGTGGAGCGGTAAATTTTGAGGAGGTCCAGCCAGATTTGTCGGTGGACCGTTAGGCCAGATTTGACACAGGTGCGTTCAGCAGCCCGCACCTGGCTTTTCAGTGAGCGGAGGTGGGTGGTGTACCAGGGGGAGGAGCGGGAGTAGGAGACAGTGCGGGAAGTGATGGGGGCAAGAGTATCGAGTGTGGAGGAGAGGGTATTGTGGAGGAGGGAGAGAGGAGAAGAGGGGTCGGTGAGGGTTGAAGGCCAGAGGGAGAGGAGTTCAGAGGACTCCAAGGCATCGGTTAGGGATTGTGGGGGTAACTTCTTCCAAGGGCGGTAGAAGATGGTGGTGGGTCTGGTGGAGGTGGGGAGGGGGTGGAGGTGGTGAAGGAGATGAAGTAGTGGTCAGAGATGGCCTTGTCGGTAATAGTGACATCCGAGACACTGAGGCCCCGGGTGATCACCAAATCGAGTGGGTGGCCGTGACTGTGAGTGGGGGAGTTTATGTGTAAGGAGAGGTTGAGTGAGGAGAGCAGGGAAGAGAAGTCTGTGGAGATGGAGCAGGAGGGGGTGAAGTGTAGGTTAAAGTCGCCCAGGATGATGAGGCGATCAGAGCAGAGGCAAAGAGATGTGAGGAGTGTTGAAATGTCAGAGATGAAGGTGGGAGAGGTTTTAGGGGGCCGGTAGAGGAGGAGGATTTTAAGGGAGAGGAATGAGGGGTGGGAGAGGGTGAGGTGCTCAAAGGAGGGGAAAGAGCCAGTGGAGTAGGGGGATAGGGCAAGTGGTGTCCTTGAGATAAGGGCAACACCACCGCCACGGCGGTTGGGGCGGGGGATGTGGTGGGAGGTGTAGCCGGGTGGCGTGGCCTCCGTGAGGGGGAAGGTGTCGCCTGGGGTGAGCCAGGTTTCTTAAGGCCATGATGTCAACGTTCTCATCAAGGATGAGATCGTTGATGACCAGGGCCTTGTTGCAGAGGGAGCGGACATTTTGCAGTCCGATGTGGAGGGAGCGGTTGACAGAAGGGTGTGTGGGAGGGGAGGGGGGTCCAGGTTGTGAGGCAGGGGTGGGGATGAGGGAGGAGAGGTTGACTCCCCGGGTCTGTGTCCGGGGTGGTGGCGAGTGTGGTGGGGAATGGGGCAGTCGGTGTGGCTGCTGCTGGACAGCCAACGCCGAGTGCCGCGGTGAGCCCGGCGGAGGATTCCCAGGCTGGAGCAGAGGGAGGGTGGGAGGGTCAAGTGGGGATAGAAGACGAGAGGGACGGAGAGAGAGGAGGAGAGAGCGGGAGAGATGCAGAGGGGGAGGGTTTGGGGGGAGAGAGGAGGGGAGGGAGGGAGGGGGTGAGGGGGCTCGGGTCAAAGCGGCAGCCATAGTGCGCACGCGGGGACCGGGAGCGAGCGGTCAGGTGGATGGCATTATCCCGTAGATTGGGGCAGCGAACCCAACAGGACCATAGTGGGCTCTGATGTGAGCCCTGGGGGGGGGGGGGGCGCAGAGGTTTTTTTTTTTTTTTTTTTGCGCGCGCACTCACCTGAAAACTAATCTATGACGTCGCAGTTCCCCCGCTCCGCCCCCACCCTCCCCCCCCCCGGGCTGAACTCGCTCCGGCGTCGAGTTTAAGTACCTGGGTCAGTAGGCCCAGGCTCCTCCCCGCGCTGTCCTGCCGCCGCTCCCCGACTGCTCACACTCACACAGACACAGAGAGACACACACTCACATAGACACACAGAGAGAGAGAGACACTCACACAGACACAATGGTAAATTGTCACACTCTGTATTTCAGAAGTGATTGAGCAGTTTGAATCGTGTTCCCGTCATCTGCCTTTCAGATCACTGGGCACATCCGGTCCACTTCGGTCAATGGTCACCTTCGCTGGACCGGCACCTGTTTAAATAGAGTTCATAGAATCATAGACTTATACGGCACAGAAAGATGACATTCTGTCCATCGTTTCTCCACATTAAACTTCACAATCTGCAGATCATACAAAACTCTGCAGCTCATGTCCTGTCCCGCACCGGGCTCCGTGACCCCATCACTCCCACCCTCGCCCGACTCCACTGGCTCTCCATCTCCCAGAGGATCGACTTCAAGATCCTCGTCCTCACCTTTAAGGCCGTCCATTGGCCTTGCCCCCTCCTACCACTCTGACCTGCTGACTCCCTACCAACCTGCCCGCTCCCTCCGTTCATCATGCTCCGGCTGCTCCATGTCTCCCGCCCGACCCTCTCTACCATCGGAGAGGCTTTCAGCCACTCTGCCCCCACACTCTGGAACTCCCTCCCACGGTCCGTTCGCCTCAGTTCCTCCCTCGCCTCCTTCAAGGCCGGTCTCCAGACCCTTCTCTTGGACTGTGCCTTTGGTCTCCCTCCCACCTCTCTGCCTTCCCTCACCCCTACACCACCCCTCCCCCATGCTCGGGCCCCGACAGCTGACTGTTCAGTGCTTTGGGACGTCCTTCCGACGTGAAAGGTGCTCCATAAATGTCATTTTGTTGTTGCTGTTGTTGATCTGCCCCGTGTCTGCCCGTGTTACCAGTCTGTCTTTGTCCTCTTGCAGTCGGTTACTATCCTCCTCACTGATTACTGCTTTTCCAGCTTAGTACTGCTTTCCTCCTCTACTCTCAACTCCACGACCACCGATGTCCTGACAGCTGTCTGTCCGACATCGAGTCCTGGACGAGAGACAACTTTCTTCAGCTCAACGTGCGAAAAACCGAGGCCCTCCTGATTGGCTCACGTCAGCGCCTCCGCACCTCAGGCGCTGACACCATCAGCTCCGCACTCTCCACCTCTCAAAGCCAGTCAGGAACCTCGGCGTTTTGTTC